ACCAGATGGGACACAAACTGGTGCCTATAAGGGATGCTGGTGCTTGGAGGTGGAGGATTAGCCAGTAGAGCCATCACACAGTTAAATTTTAATTGAAATCCAAAGAAATTCTAACCTTCAGGTGTCCATCAGCACAATCAGAGCAGGAAACGGCGAAGAAGAGCCCAGGGTGTACGGGCCCTTGGCGCCTCGGGGACTTCAAGGAGACCACAGACACCCAGGGCTGGCTCCGCCCCTCATGAGTCAAGGTTATGTCTAGAGAAAGAGCTCCGTCCTACCACAGAAGCATGTGGAATTTTCAGAACTCAGATTTCTCTCCCTTTGGGTTTTTTTTTTTTTTAGATTTATTTATTTTTATTGGAATGGCAGATTCCAGAGAAAAAGAAAGACAGAGAAAGATCTTCTGTCTGCTGATTCATTCCCCATGTGGCTGCAACAGCCAGAGCTGAGCTGATCCAGAGCCAGGAGCCAGGAGTTGCTTCCTGGTCTCCCAGTGTGGGTACAGGGGCCCAAGGACTTTAGTCAACCTCCACTGCCTCCCCAGGCCATAAGCAGGGAGCTGAATCAGAAGTGGAGCAGCCGGGGCTAGAACCACTGCCCATGTGGGATGCAGGCAGAGGCTTAGCTTGCTATGCCATGGCACCTCCAAATAAAACTTTTTAAAAATAACAGTAAGTGTTTATGGGTAATGGAAGTACAGGATTCCAGACTGGGATGGATAAGTGTTGGGAGCCCAGCTCTAAGAAGGCTTCTGTGCAAAACAGCTGGAGGCCTGAGTCTATGCTCGCACAAACCCTGAGGGAGCTGGGGCTGCACCTGGCGTTGACTGTGAAGACCCTTATGAGTTATTCCCGCAGGTGCCTTGCTAAACTTTTGAACCCTGTCACCAGGGTTTGTGATGACACCTAGGTATTAGGGTTGGAGAGTAGCACTAGTTAGGCTGACAGACAGGTGAGATTCATGTAAAAGAAGGAAAAATGGAATAAGTAAAGGGACAGGCGCAGTGGCATAGCAGATAAAGCCATCACCTGTGGCACCGGCGTCCCATCGGGGCGCTGGTTCAAGTCCCGATCGCTCCACTTCTGATCCAGCTCCCTGCTAAGACACCTGGGAATCAGGGGGAAGTGACCCCAGTGCTTGGACTGCTGCACTCACAAGGGAGATTCGGAGGAAACACCTGGCTTTGGCTTGCCCCACAGTGCTGCAAGTCATGGTGGCCATTTGGGCAATGAGCCAGCAGATGGAATCTCTGTATCACGCCTCTCTGTGTAACTCTACCTCTCAAATACAAATCCTTTTTAAAAATATTGTGAATGGATCATATGAGGGCACTGTTCAGTGCACGGCATCAGCTAAGGGGTGTGTGGCAGAGGGCCTGGCTGCTGGTGAGTGCTCAGGAAATGGAAGCAGTGATAAGGCTCCTGGGGGCGGGGGGGCAGTCAGCACCAGGACGGACGTGGGCCTCTTCACCTGCCAAGTGAGGGCAGGTGGCCAACACCAGGACTACCTGAGCAGTGCCTCAGGCTCCCCTGCCCTCCAGCGAGGGCTGACCCGAGACAGGCAGGTTTCCAAGCTGAATGGAGTTGTTCCCGATTGGGGCTGAGGAGCCACAGAGAAGAAGGGATTGGAGTGAATGATCCCAAGTTCGAGTTCCCAGGTTTTCCATTCATTGGTAGTGCAGTAATACTGATGATTTTGCTAAGGTTGTAAAGAAAAGCCCTGGGGAAGTGCCAGGAGGCCTGGAACAGGCAAGAGAGACTGTGTCTCTCCCCACGTGCAGCACCAACATTCCGCGGGGCGCTGCCGTCCCCTGGCACACGCTCAGAGACCTGGACGGGTGGAGGGAGGTCATGTCAAACACAGTCACAGCTTCCTTTGTCAGCTTTGGGATCCTCAGAGCCCAGATACAAAACCATAGATCCCCTTGCTTGAATCTGCTTTTGGAGGAGAGGTTAGTAAGAAATAGTGTTGGGGGGCCCGGCGCGGTGGCGCAAGTGGCTAAGTCCTCACCTAGCATGCCCGGGATCCCATATGGGCGCCGGTTCTAATCCCGGCAGCCCCGCTTCCCTTCCAGCTCCCTGCCTGTGGCCTGGGAAAGCAGTCGAGGACGGCCCAAAGCTTTGGGACCCTGCACCCGCGTAGGAGACCCGGAGGAGGCTCCTGGCTTCGGATCGGCATAGTATCGGCCCGTTGCGCTCACTTGGGGAGTGAATCATCGGACGGAAGATCTTCCTCTCTGTCTCTCCTCTCTGTATATCCGCCTTTCCAATGAAAAAATAATAAAAATAAATCTTTAAAAAAAAAAAAAAAAAAAGAAAGAAATAGTGTTGGGCCCGGCACGATAGTGTAGCAGTTCAAGTCCTCACCTTGAACACACCCTGGCATCCCATATGGGTGTCGGTTCTAGTCCCACCAGCCCCATTTCCCATCCAGCTCCCTGCTTGTGGCCTGGGAAAGCAGTCAAGGACAGCCCAAAGCCTTTGGACCCTGCACCCGCATGGGAGACCCAGAAGAGGTTCTGGGCTCCTGGCTTTGGATCGGCTCAGCTTCCAACCTTTGCGGTCACTTGGGGAGTGAACCATCGGACGGAAGACCTTCCTCACTGCCTCTCCTCCTGCTTCCTGTATATCTGCCTTTCCAATAAAAATAAAATAAATCTTAAAAGAAAGGAAAGAAGGAGGAGAGTTGGAGGTTGGAGGCATGTGAGAGGGGAGTATGGTTATCTTAGAATTCTATGAAATACATCAAATCTATCCCCTTTATATTAATACAGATTTTACACTTGATCTTAGCCAAAAGGCCGAGAAGCGATTATTAATACAGAAAAAGGACTATGCCCCAAGAATATGAACTACTTGCTCGTTTGAGCACCCTGAGCTTCTGACTGGGGCTTTCGGCCCGGCCCACCCCAGCTGCACCCTCTGCAGGCATTTTGGGGAGCAAGGCAGTTCTGTCCTGCTTTTACCTGGAGCTTCATCTCTGTCTACGTGTGCGTTTCTGCCTTTCAAATACATAAACACAAGTTAAAGAAACCACCATTTCAGGTGAAATGGGTCCACCATGATTTTGACGTGGCTGCCCCCTGGTGGGCAGAAGGTGGATGATGACAGCTGAAGCGATGGTCTCCGGGTCCCCCTCCCTGGGGTGTGGATGCTGCAGGACCAGTCTTCAGCCAGCAGAGGCCACAGGGTGTGGGTTAACAGGAGGACACCGTCACCAAGGCGACCATTCTCCCTGCAGGTGAGAGACGGCCCATCATATGGAACCACAGTCACCTGCTGCAAACACCCCCACTCCAGATGCAGCCACAAAGCGCTGGGATGATGGGGTCACGTTCAAGACTCATACTCCACCCCCAGGGGCAGAGATGTGGGGTGGACAGAGGGGACCCTGCAGGACACCAGAGGAGGGTTAGCAGTGGCTGGCAATGGGGACATGGAGAGTTCCCAGGAATCGGCGGGTCCTCAACAAGTGGCAGGCAAAGAGATATCACCGAAGAGAACTAGGCAGGATCCCCCGGGGGTCAGGGGAACGTGGCGAGACTGCAGGCCAGCGCTCCAACTCTGGATTCAGCAAGGATTCTGGTCGGCTACCCCTGCCTGCCATGGGAGCTCTGGTCCCCATCCTAGCTGCTGCACTTCACTCCAGCTCCCCACAACTGCAGCCTGAGATGGCCCGGTCCTTGGGCCACCCACACAGCAGGCTGGTCAGAGTCTTTGCTTCCACAGTCATTTTGGTGGAGGGGGGCGGTAAACTAGTTGGATGGAAGATATTTCAAGATTTATTTATTTTTATTGGAAAGACAGATACACAAACAGAAAGACAGAGAGGAAGATCTTCCATCCAATGGTTCACACCCCAAGCAGCTGCAACAGCCGGAGCTGAGCCAATCCAAAGCCAGGAGCCAGGACTTTCTTCCAGGTCTCCCATGCATGTGCAGGGTTCCAAGGCTTTGGGCTGTCCTTGACTTCTTTCCCAGGCCACAAGCAGGAAGCTGGATGGGAAGTGGGGCCACTGGGGTTAGAACCGGTGCCCATATGGGATCCCAGCATGTTCAAGGTGAGGACTTGAACCACTATGCTATCACACCGGGCCCCCAAATAAATATTTGTAAATAAAGAATCCGGATAGACTGCAGACCCTCCCCCTACAACCTGTGGGACCATGCTCAAACACCCCCACAGCGGCCTGCCATCTCCCTGGCTCAGCTGATCGCCATCATAAGGCAGGAGTCGTACTGTGGACCCTTCTACTCTCAGTAGAGTATATTTAAATAAAACTTAACATTTAGAAAGAAAAAAAGCGGAAGGAGGAGGAAGGACTTTGAAATATTGGAAATACTCCATTTCTCGACCCGAGCGCTGGTGACACGGGTGTGCGCATGTTATCATAATTCATTCAGCTGTGTGCATAATTTGTGCTTTTTTTTTTTACATGTTATGGTAAATAAGATTTTGGAAAAAATAATGTGCAAAAGTGGCCAAAGCAATTTTAACGGTAGCAAGAAGGAAATATTGCTGCATCAGTAGAAAGATCATGGGTGTGGGTGCAGACAAATGCGCGGCTGGAAAAGAACACCCCCCCCCAAAAAAAAATAAGCTGTGAATCTAGAATAGCTTGGTCTATAACCAGGGGCATTATAATCACAGAAGAACAAGGACCTTCGAGCAAGCAGCACCCGTGCACGGGAGCTTGGGAACGCCTTGCTGGGCTCTTATGTTGTTAGACTCATCAGCGTACTAACCCTGATATCAACCCTAAATCCTGTGAGCTGCGGCCTCAGCCACGACCAGCTGCGTTGGCGCTTGGGGCCGCTGGGGGGCGGCATCGAGCGGCTCGCGGGGACCGCGCTACCACGCGTGCGCGGCGCCCTTGGGCCGCTCCGGCGGCGGCCCCCCTCGGTGTGCGCATGCGCATGCGCATGCGTGGGTGCTCACGGCGTCCCCAGGCTGGCATTGCGGACATGCGCATTGCGGGCCTGCACACGCCCCGGCGTGCACAGCTGTGATCCGTGCACCCTGCGCCCTGCGCCCCCGGACGGTTCCGCAGCCGCGCCCGGTCCCCCGACTCCCCGGCACCCCGACTCCCCGGGCCGACATGTCCCAGCCGCCCGCAGACTGCAGCCAAGGCGACGCCCCGCGCGCCGAGGGAGGCGGCGGGAGACGGGAGCCGGAGGAGGCCGGGGGAGGCGCGATGGCGGCAGCCCGGGGAGCCCGGCTGGCGGCGGCCCGAGCTGGAGGAGCTGGCCCGGCACCAGCAGCAGCAGCCGCGTCCCGGGAGGCGCGCATGGCAGAGGTCGCCCGACTCCTGGGGGAGCCCCTGGAGGACGAGGGTCCCGAGGGCAGGCCGCGCTCGCGGGGGGCGCTGGCCGCCTTGCCCTACCTGCGCCTCCGGCACCCTCTGAGCGTATTGGGGATCAATTATCAACAGTTCCTCCGCCACTACCTGGAAAACTACCCGATCGCCCCCGGTCGCATCCAGGAGCTGGAGGAGCGGCGGCGGCGCTTCGTGGAAGCCTGCCGGGCGCGCGAGGCCGCCTTCGACGCCGAGTACCAGCGCAACCCGCAGCGCATGGACTTCGACGTGCTGACCTTCACCATCGCCCTGACCGCGTCCGAAGTCATCAATCCCCTCATCGAAGAACTGGGCTGCGATAAGTTCATCCACAGGGAGTAGCTGGAGTGGTGAGGTGGGGAGGAGTGGAGGTGGGGGAGCCTGGGCCTCTCGCTGCGCTCAGCCTTGGACACCGGACAGAAGTCCACCACAGCGAGCCCATGGGCCACGAGGGACGCCCGGGAGCCCCCTGCGAAAGCAACAGCAAAAACGGGACGACGCCGAAAGCATTGCAAGACACCCCCAACCCTGCGCGCCTGCGTGCGCCCTCGAGCGCGCACCCCCAGTTGGTAGTGAAGCCGGTTTCTTCCCACCCTCACGCACCTGCAGGATGCCTCCTCCTTGCTGCGTTGGTCTGTAGGAACTCGGGGTGTGGGTTCTGCTCCCGGAGCCCTGGGTGAGGAAGGGATCGTGACCCCACTCCAGCAGAGGCACCGTGCCACACAGCTGAGGTTGTAGGAGCCGGAGGCCGCGGACTGCGCGCGGTCAGCCTCTCCTGAAGGCCAGGAGCGCGCAGGGTGACGTCGGGTTGTGTGTTTGGCCGCGGCGGTGCAGATGGCGAGCCAAGTACCTGCTGCTGTAGATAAGACATGATAAATCGTGTTTTCCAAAAACGCCAGGTTTCTGGGTTTTGTGTTCGTTTTTCAGATGGCGTTGCAAAGTCTTTTGGTAAAGGGTGTGTCGGCGCTTCCTTAAGATAGGAACTACACAGCGGCGAGGGCTCTCCACCTAGCGGTGGTTGCAAGCCGGGTCGCTAGGTGGAGATACACAAATAGAAATCCCGGAATTTGTTTTCTTTTGTTTTTGCACTTCTTCACAAAGTTGGCATATTATAATTAATGGTTTATATGCAGCCTTTTCGTCAGGAACATATCCTTTGAAACCACCGTATTTCCTTATTGTTTTTTAGAAACTGTGTGTATTTTTTTTCTCTCTTCTGTAATTAGCCAGGAATATCCTTTTGGTTGTTTAGGCTGTTACCTGCCGTTTTCTTTTGGCAAAAGAGAATTGCTGTGCCGGCTCGTTTCATACGCCTGTCCCGTGACGTGGCGCGGCGCGCACACAGCATTACTTCCATCCGAAATACAATGTTCAGATTTCAACGTTTCTGACATGAGAGTACTTCAAAGGGTAATTTTTTTATATATATAAAAGTTGTGGTGGATCATGTACGCAGTACCTTCTTGGAGCCTTTGTTGCAGATAAGCGGGATTAAATCTCAGCGTTCTGGGCCGGAGGAACACCCGTGGGAGCTCACAGGGGCAGCTAAGTCCACCCGGGGGGTCATTTCAGATTCCCACTGGTAATTGACAAGCAGTGTTTTCACCAGTGTTTTAAACCAACAGATACCCAGATGTTGCCAATCTGACCGTTGAGAAAGGGGGGCATATCCCTTTAAATTGGCTTTTCTGGGTTCTGCAGAGGAAGCTTCAAAGAGTGCATGCGAAGTGGGAGGCACCGGTATCGCCGGTTTTGCTGCACAGTTGAAATCATGCATGGTTTTGGTAGCGCGCATTTTCCGTGGACTTGGTGGAGATCCTTCATGACCCCTTGTCCGTGCGTTTTCTCTTCGTGTCCTTTATCTGTTTCTGAGTAACTTTCTGTATTGACTGTCATATCTTTAATCATGCAATGAAATATGAAAAAGCTGTGGTGTTCGTTATACATTGTTCTAGCTTATTTATCTTTGGATTTTCTAAAAGCCTTTGGACATGCAGTTTTTTGTCTTGACTTCCTTTAACTTATGTTTATTTATTTGTTTCCCAACGGTTTATTTATTTGAAAGACAGAGTAATAAAGTGAGGCCGAGACAGATTTGCCATCCACCAGTTTATTCCCCAGCTGACCCACTGGCCAGCTGGGCAGGTGGCCCAAACATTGGCACCATCCTCTGCCGCCTTCGCCCGGCCATCAGCAGGGAGCTGGGTCAGAAGTGGAGGAGCTGGGACTTGAACTGAACGCCCACATAGGCTGTGGGCTTTAGTGGCAGTGGCTTTGCCTGCTGTTCCACAGTGCTGGCCCTTCCTGTGTCCCCTGTGCTCCGAAGGTTTGGTGTGCCCTGGGGAAATAAATCCAGTGTTCATATTTCAATCTTTGAACCATTTGAAACTTATCTTAAAGATGTAGCGCAAGCTTAACGACTTAATTTTTTTTTTTTAATATGACTTCCTTGGGGGGACCTGCACAATAGCTCAACTGGCCATCCTCCACCTGCAAGCACCAGCATCCCATACGGGAGATGGTTCGTGTCCTGGCAGCTCCACTTCCATTCACAGCGCCCTGCTTAGGGCCCGGGAAAGCAGCAGAGGAAGGCCCAATGCCTTGCAACCCGTATCCACATAGGAAACCCAGAGGAGGCTCCTGGGTTCTTGCTTCAGATCAGCTCAGCTCCAGCCATTGCGGCCATTTAGGCAGTGAAACGAGCGGATAAAAGATTTTTTGCTGTGTCTCCTGCCTTTCCAGTAAGAACAAATCTTCAGCTTAAAAGAGAGCAAGCGCTGATGTGCAGCTCTGTCCCTCTTCTCCAAGCCACCCCTGGCCCAGCCAGCGCATCCAGCAGGGTGTGCACCCCAGCTTGACCTGGTCCCAGGGGAATTAGAGGAGACTGCATGGAGATCCACACGGGGGCTGAAAGCAAGGCCAGGAACGTTGGAGTGAGAAATTCTGGGAAATTAGTATTCTGAAAGTGAATCCGAATTGCATGAAGAAAATAGTCACTAGGGGTGGCATTGTGGTGTGGCCAGCTAAGCCATCGCCTGCAACACCCAGCGTCATAGGCACAGGTTCAAATACTGGCTGTTCCACTTCTGATCCAGCTCCCTGCTGATGCACCCAGGAAAGCAGTAGAAGACAGTCCATGTGTTTGGGACCTTGGACCCACGTGGGAGACCTGAACAAAGCTCTTGTATTCAGCCTGGCTCAGCCCCAGCCATCATGGCCATTTGGTGTGGTGAACCAGAGAATGCAAGATGTCCCTCTGTCTCTCCCTCTCTATAACTCTACTTTTAAGCAAATAAAATTAATTTATTTAAACAAAGAAAAAGCTTCCATCCGATTTGTTCCCCCCAAATGCCTACAACAGCTGGGGCCAGGCAAAGCTGAAGCCAAGAGCCTAGAATTCTGAGCTCCCGCGTGGGTGGCAGGGTCTCGGGACCTGCTCCCTCCCACACAGGTTAGTAGGAAGTTTGATCAAAAGCCAAGGAGGGGGGCCAGCACAGTAGCCTAGTGGCTAAAGTCCTTGCCTTACACGCACTGGTATCTTATATGAGCGTCAGTTTATATCCTGGCTGCTCCACTCCCCATCCAGCTCCCTGCTTGTGGCTTGGGAAAGCAGTTGAGGACAGCCTAAAGTTTTGGGACCCTGATTCTGTGTGAGAGGCCTGCAAGAGGCTCCTGACTTCAGATCAGTGCAGCTCTGGCAGTTGTGGCCACTTGGGGAGTGAACCAGCAGATGGAAGATCTTTCTGTCTCGCCTTTGCTCCATAAATCTGCCGTTCTGATGGGAGACGTCCTTTGGAATCAGTGTTGTGGCACAACTCGGGATGCCAGCATCCCGTGTCAGAATACCACTTCTGATCCAGCGTCCTCACGTGCTGAGAGTCACCTGCCGCCCCCAAGGAAGACCTGGGTGGGGTTTCAGGCTGGCCTCCGCCTTGCCCAGCCTGGCTGTTGTGGCTGTCTGAGCCAGCTGCTGGAGCATCCCTCAGCAGCTCCTTTTCTGTCGCCATGCCTTTCAAATAAAAATTTCGGCACGAGAAAACATGTTCCTAATTTAATGTTCTTTTAAATATATTTATTTATTTATTTGGAAAGACAGATGTTCAGACAGAAGGAGAGACAGAGAAAGAACTTTTGTCTGCTGGTTCACTCCCCATGTGGCCACAACAGCCAGAGCTGAGCCAATCCAAAGCCAGGAGCTTCATCCATGTCTCCCACGCAGGTGCAGGGTCCCAAGGCTTTGGGCCGTCCTCAAATGCTTTGCCAGGCCACAAGCAGGGAGCTGGATGGGAGGTGGAGCAGCTGCAACGATACCAACTGGCGCCCATGTGGGATGTGCAAAGCCAGGGCTTGAGTCACGAGGCCACCGCGCCAGGCCATTTATGTTTCATTTTGTTCTGTAGTGAAGGATATTTTAATAGTATTTTTAGCAGTGTATCTGCTACAAAGTTGCAAGTGTCAAGAAAAGAATGCCTTGTAACCCGGTCACCACCGGGTCGTCTTCCAAGGACCTAACATCCACTCCTGGCATGGGATACCTGGAGTCAGGACGGCGCTATTGCCCTGGCCAGCCCAAGCAGTTGGTACCAAATGAAGAAGGTCCTTCCAGTGGACGTGAAGCCATTGATTTCTGTGCACATATTGAAAGTATCGTTGATAGTGGCTTGTCAGATGATTCTCTTACATTGAGGTATTATCAAGTACAGATAGTGATAACTTTGCCACTTTTACAGTATTTTTTTTTATTCTCCCCCTTTTTTGTAATGTTTAGAATGCATTTAAGCAGGCTGCTGTCCGCTGGCTCATTCCCCCAGTGCCCCACAGTAGCCAGGCTGGACCAACTAAGAGCCAGGAGCCTGACCGGACTCTCCCACACGAGTAGCAGGGACCCACGTGCTACAGGTGTCACCACCGCCCCCCGGGACAATGCCTCCAGTTCCTCAGTTAGAACGCTGTAATCTGTAGTGCCGGATGCTATACAGGGTCCTTGTCTTGCTCCTCTGTAGAGTTTCTAGAGTGACGTACCCATCTGTCACTGCGGGTGATGTTTCAAGAATTGCTGGAATCTGTCAGAGATCTTTCCAGAACTTGTGAATTCTATACTAGATTATTCCATATCCACCACACAGTACATCCTACTTTGCACGGCCAACAATGGCATTGATCATGTTGATTCGCAAGGTGGGCTTCTTCCACTGAGGCCCCGATCTCCTTTACCTCTCGTTAAAGGTACTGGCCTTCATATTCACACATGGGATCGTACCCATTTCTGGTGCTGGGTCACTATGGGAGGCTGTTTTGTTTTTCTAGGATCTTCCAGGATCCGGCCTGAAACAGAAGTCACTGGATTCAAGCAACTAGAGAAAAAGTGGGTGATTGCCCAAATAGTAACGATTGTTATTGTGGCTGGCGCGTGGCATAGCACAGGAATCCTTTGCCTGCTAGTACCAGCATCCCACATAGACACCACTTTGCGTCCCAGCTGTCCCACTTGAGGACAGCCCAAAGCCTTGGGACCCTGCACCTGCATGAGAGACCCGGAAGAAGCTCCTGGCTCCAACCATTGTCCTGATAGTGGGGGCGTGCCCTCAGAATGGCAGGGGACCAGGACTGGGAATCCTGGGGGGAGGAAAGTGACATTTCTGATGTCGGATTATCTAGGTTCCAATGCTGACTTTGACACAATCGTGTGACCGGGTATTACCTGTTGACTTTTGCCCCTTAAACTGATCCCATACCTCACTCCATTTCCCCCTTATTCTTACGGATGTTACAAGGTCTTTTGTTTTTTAAGATTTTTTTTTTATTATTATTGGAAAATCAGATATACAGAGAGGAGGAGAGACAGAGGAAGATCTGTCTGATGATTCACTCCCCAAGTGAGCGCAACAGCTGGAGCTGAGCTGATCCGAAGCCAGGAACCCTTGACTGCTTTCCCGGGCCACAAGCAGGGAGCTGGATGAGAAGCAGGGCTGCCGGGATTAGAACCGGCACAAAGTCTTATAGAAGTTAAAACTCCCCTTGGAAGAGCGGAGCCCACGGGCTGACACTGTGACACAGTAAACCAGGGCTCTATCTGCTGCATGTGCATTCTGTATGGACGTGTGTTCGTGTCCCAGCTGTTCCACTTCAGATTAAGCTGCCTGCTTGCAGCCTGAGAGGGCAGTAGGGGATGGCCCAAGTCCCTGGGATCCTGCACCCATGTGGGAGACCCAGGAGAAGCTCCTGGCTCCTGGCTTCGGATCAGCTTAGCTCCAGCCAAGCTGGGGAGTGAACCAGCAGATCGGAAATCTTTCTCTTTTTGTCTCTCTGTGAATCTGCCTTTCCAATAAAAATAAATCTTTTAAAAAATAAAGGGAGGGGGGACACATTTGGTTCAGTATTTCCTAGACCAACACATCCTTAGACTAGGTCAACACTAAATCCAGATTCTTTACGATAAGGAAATCTTCCAGAAAGCTTCCTTTAGGAAAAGGCTTGTGAGCAGATCGCCTCCTAGCTGACTCCAGCCTCAGCTGCTTGCGGAGAAGTGCCAAGGTGCGGGTGCCTGAGCATGGCAGGGCTTGGGGGAAGTGGGCGCTGAGTCAGGAGCACACAGCATGCAAACAGCCCTGCGGGTCAGGTTGTTTCAGGGGTGCAAGGAAGACACAGAGAAGCAAACTAGGGGGTGCTGCCCCTTAGAACGACAATCTTGCCCCCCCCCCCCTTCTGCCACAACTTCTCGCAGGGCAAGGAAAAAACAAACAGCTGCGTGTGCCCTGCGGGAGCCACATACAGCCACAGCAGAACAAACCCAGGCTGGAGTCCCTTCACCCTCACAGCAGAAATCGCTGGTGTAGCAAAATAGAAACATATTTGGGGCCAACGAGGTGTGCAGTGGCTCAAGCATCACATTGGTGCACAAGTTCGAGTCCCACTGCTGTTCCTGATGCAGCTCCCTAGTTACAGCCTGGGCAAGCGGAGAGGACAGCCCGAGGGCTTGGGCCCCTGACTCCCGGATGAAGCTAGAGGTGCCTGGCGATTGCGACTAGTGGGAAGTGAACCAGATGCGTGATTCATTCTCTCTCTCTCCTTTCCAAAAAACAAGTAAATGTTGGGCCCGGCATGGTGACCTAGCAGCTAAAGTCCTCGCCTTGAACACGCCAGGATCCCACATGGTCACCAGTTCTAATTCTGGCTGCTCCACTTCCCATCCAGCTCCCTGCTTGTGGCCTGGGAAAGCAGTCGAGGATGGCCCAAGTCCTTGGGACACTGCTCCCACGTAGGAGACCCAGAAGAAGTTCCTGGCTCTTGGCTACGGATTGGCTCAGCTCTGACCATTGCGGCCATCTGGGGAGTAACCAATGGATGGAAGATCTTTCCTCTCTATCTCTCCTTCTCTCTGTGGCTCTGCATTTCAAATCAAAACAAACAAACAAAAAAGCTAAAAGCAAGGCTCTTTAATGTCTCCACCTTAAGTAAATGATATATGTTTAAAGATACATTTGCCCTGATTAAGCACGAAAACATCCCACACTACCCCCGCATAGTCATGCATAACTGAACGTACTAGCTCAGAATAAATGCTAATAATCACTAGAACTACATGTAGTGGAAGCCTGCAGTTTCATTACCAGGTGATCCACCCGAATTCAGTAATAGGTTGCTGTTTCCAAGCGTGGCGCGCCAGGACTGGAGAGGGCACTCCGCACCACCAGAGGGCGCTCGAAGCTTGCGCACCGAGCGGGCGCACGCAGGCGCACGCATGCGCGCGGCCGTCAGCCCGACCCCGCGGGAAAGCGTCGTGGAGCGTTTGGATGGACGCGGTGGTCCGGTGGCGGAGATGTCCGAGTTGCCGGGAGGCGGCAGTGTCCCCGCGAGGGGCATCCGCGACGTGCTGCAGGCCGGCGTAGGCGGCCGGAGCCGGGCCCGGGAGGCCCGGGAGGCCCGGGAGGGCGCGCTGGCCGGAGCTGCCAGGCCCGTGGTGCGCGCGCCGGGCCCCGCGGCCGGCCCGGAGCCCGTGTCCATCATGGGCAGCGTGGCCGAGCCGCTCGGCCCCCTGGCCACGCACGAGCAGCAGCAGCAGCAGCAGCAGCTGTTCCGCCAGTACCTGGATGACTGCTCGCTCATCCCGGCGCGTTTGCTGCGTGACATCGAGGAGCGCCGCCGGCTGTTCGTGGAGGGCTGCAGGGCGCGCGAGGCGGCCTTCGACGCCGACCCGCCGCCCATGGACTCGGCGGCCGCCGCCTTCACCGTGGCCCTGGGCGCCTCGGACGACTGAGAGCCGCCGGGGCCTGCGCCCGCCCGGCCGAGGGAGTGACTCAGCCGCCGTGGGGGCGACGCCGGCAGGCCGAGGAGGAGGAGGAGGCGCGCGGCCCGGCGCGCCAGGGACGGACCCCCTGCCCACGGCGAGCTCCCCCCCCCCACACACACACACACACACACACTCGTGCATCGGTGGGACGAACTGGGCCATCTCTCCACCACCACCCTCCCGAGGCTGGCTTTGCAGAGATCCGAGCCCAAGAGGGGGACTGTCCATTACAGAACGCATCAGAAGTAGCCAGGACAGGCGGGAAGGGAAACGCACAGAGTGGTCAGGGGGTCCGGGCGCGTGGGGGACCCTCCGCGGGGCGTCTTGTGCCAGCCCACCCCTCCAAGACGAGTAGTGGACATCCAGCTAGGAAAAGACGGGTTCCTTATTTGTGAGAGAAATGTGTTACCCAGTCCACGTGAAACTGACAGGAGTGGGAGTAACTTGGGTGTGTGTGTGGGTGTGTGTGTGTGTGTGTGACTGTTAACTGTTGCTCTTGCGTATGTCATCTTTTTGACAAGACCCAACCAAGTAATCAGAGTTGCTGGGAAGTCTGTCCTCTTCCTGCCCTCTGCCAAATTCAACAGGCTCCCTAGCACGCGTGGTCACGCGGGGGTGGAATGAAGTGTGTGTGTTTGTTTATTCCGGTTTGTTCTTACGCCTTTCCACTGTTGTCTAATGCATATGCAAATCGATGTGTTTTACATGTGCCGCTTGCTTTCCTAAGTCGAGGTAACCTCTACCTCTACCAGCATCTTGGATTTTGTTGTTGTTATTTTTACTCGTATTGTAGATTTCCGTATCTGTCGTTTTGAGCGACTACAGTGTAAGACTGCGATCTCAGTAGACCAGCCGGTCAGCTTTTGCACCACTGGGCTGGTGGCGAAATGCTGTAGCATTTTCTCTGTGCACGTTCCCACCTTGGAGCAGAGGACGATCTGGACACAAGGACGTATGTGTTGGGCCAAGGGGGGTACACCTGCCTTCCTGGGGGCTCATCCAGCCAGGGGGTTTCAGTGCCCGGCCATCAGCCAGTCAGCCTCGGCCGTCCCCATCAGTGCAAAGGGACCCCCGCTCTGGCTTTCATTTGCATTTCCCTATCAGGGAAGCTGTGTCTAAAAGCTGTTTATTTCTTGTGATTTCCCAAGGGGTGACAGAGTGGTGTCAGTCCAGGTTACTCTGCCTTTTCCCTTTGCAGATCACGGCAGCTTAACTGTTCCTTTAGGGGACAAAAATACAGTTTCTAGATCTTTAACTGCCGCGGATCCCTTTTTGTCTGGGGGATTTCTTTCTCTGGAAAGCAGCGTCACAGAGAGGGCGGGAGATCTTCCACCACCTGATTCACCCACTGCCTCCCTCTGCCCTGCGCCCCTCTCACCTCCAGGCTGAGCTGGGGGAGCTGGGGGTGGTGGGAGCCAGGCGCCAGGAAGTCCTCCGAGCTCTGCCTCGCCAGTGCAGGGCCCCAAGCAGCTGAGCCAGAAGCTAGGGCAGACATGGAGTAGCTGGGACTCAAACCGGCACTCCCCCAGAGGATGCCACATCTCAGGCTTGTGGAAATGCAGACGGAGTATCTGTCTTGGTGGAGCTCTGTGTACGCGGATTTTCCTTCCCCGGCTTCTAGACTTTGGAGTCGTGGTTAGAAAGACTTGTAGCACCCCGCAGCTTGCCCCCGTCCAGCTGGCACGGCTGGCCGTAGGTTTGGACATGGCTGTTCCACCCCCATTGCTCCTTCCCCCGACCCCCCAAGTTTTTCTAGATATTCTTTTACCTTCTCTCTCTGTCGGGCTTACCTAGCTGGGATTTTTGCAAAAGCTATTGGGGCTCTGTCTGTTTCAAGCAGTGCAACTGGCATTGATCATGTGTATATAAACTTTGTTGAATGACAATCTTTATGACGTTGGCTTCCTGTCCACTGATGTGATGTCTCCATTTCTTCAGGGACTTCCTCACATCCCCAGATGTTTTCAAGTCTATAGAAACGTGTGTGTTTGGGGAGGGGGCCAAGGTTATTCCAAGGCTCATGTCACTGTTGTTGCGAGTGAGGTTTTGCTATATGCACATTTTTGGGATACTGCTGAGTCCTTCCTCTTTGTGGGGTGCTCTGTGTAACAGACCCTCGGCTCTTCGTATCGGTCTTCGGTGTACAGTCACATTGACAAAAAGCAATATTTTTACCGGTTCCCGTTGTCATTTTCAATGCCTGTCGCTCCTTTCTCATGTAACAGTTGCTAGGGCGAGAAGCCCCAACCCAGTGTAAGCACACGAGTGGGAGAGGACCCCTGGTCTCCGCTGGGCAGCGGGATTGCTGCGTCGCCCGGGAACCACGGGGCTGGCTTCGGTGTGGGGTAAACGTCCTCTCCCATGAAGCATGCAGACAGGCCTGTGGATCGGCCGCGTGGTCCCCAGGGGATGGGGGTTTCTGCTACAGGGAATTCCATTTACTGCACTGATTTGATTTTCTTTTTTTTATTATTATTTTGACAATCTTTAAGTAGTTAATTTGGGTAAAAAGGGTCAAGGGCTACAGGAAAGTGGGTAAGATTATTGTTTCCATATTGTTTCCTTCATGTATCTGAGGTTAAGGGGGTTACTGAGGGAGAAGCCCCACCCAGTTTCCCACACACCCCAAATCCCGCATGTGGGGCATGCTCTGAGATACTCGCTCAAATGGTTTCGATAGTTCACCAGTTATGAATCACTGCCAATCTCGCCTCTCCAAACACGATGAGGTCGTTGAAAAATCCACTGATTAACATTGTTCACCATAGCATCTCTATTTGCTGGTATTTTGTTGCCAACCTATAGCTGAGGTGGTTGATTAACTTGTTCCATCTTCTGTCCTTTCATGGTTAGGGTTCTGAGTCCGGCATTTCGATTGGGGAGATCCCCAAAGAAACTTCGTCTGAGGTTTTCCCAAGCCAGATTCTTGTGTGTTCTAGCAAGCACAGGGCCCGGCTCAGTCCATCATCCCGATCAGCTGGTGGTTGCAATGGCTGGGTTGGTTCTGTTTTCAGCCCCGACTTCCACTGGAACCAATGGGTGTTGCAGTCCAGCCTGGTTCAGCACATTCTCGGCCCTCACATAAAGCAGTGGGAGCTGCAGCCTGGTGAGAGCGACCCACAATAACCCCCACCAGGCCCGCCCCCTACCCTGGTTTGCCAGTATGTGTGGCAGACCAATCAGTCTGTCCCACATCCGCCTTGGCTCTCGTACGTGGCAATCGGCATTGAAGCTTAGATCCATCTAACCAGCTCAACAATCAAGCCCTCACGGGTGTTGTTGAGTAATGCACTGACTTTCCTCCCCGATGCGTACGTGTCGGATTGTGCACACAGCTTTTCCCGTGGCGGTGTACACGCGTGGAATGATCCTGATGGTATCCTTAGCGGATACTGAGTTGTTTGGCAACACTGAAGATGTTTTATGTCAGGATTCATAAGTGAAATTGGCTCGTATAGGCCCCTCTCTTACCTTCACAGAAGGAAATGACTCAACTCCAAGTGCCGAAATGTGCAACCTATGGTACATCTCCCAGGCTGGCTGCTGGCCGCCTGCCGCTCCCCTCAGCTGTGAAGTGGCTGGGAGCCAGAGGGCGGCGGGAGGCCTGCCTGCCTTTCCACCTGCCCGCCCGCCCGTCCACCTGCCTGCCTGCCTGCCTGCCCGCCGTCCACCTGCGCACACGCCTGCCTGCCTGTCCACCTGCACACACGCCTGCCCGCCCGTCCACCTGCACACATGCCTGCCCACCCGCCCGCCCGTCCACCTGCCCGCCCGTGGCCCCTGATGCGGAGGACAGGCCCACAGATAACGGCCCGCGCCTCTGAACAAAGCTCCCTCTGCCAAATAGATGAGTCTCGGGAGAATCTTCTCAATTGTGTTGCTTTTCTCTGAGAACCAACAACCGCTTTCCCTTCCTGCCTTACTCATTTCTGCCCTGATTCTTACATTATTTGTGTTATTATTATTATCCCAGTTAGTTCTTTTTCAGTTTCTAACTTCTTGAATGGATTTTGATTCATCCATTTCCACCCTGTTCTATTATAACCATATAAGCCAGGTGATAAAATTCTTCTAAGAACTATTACCCTACAAGTTCAACGATGTATTTTTTTTCTTATTCAGCTCAAACATTGACACGTCCCATCATTGCTGCGGTATATTTTTTATTTTTTTCAACCACTGAGTTATTTAAAAATGCACTTCTTTTTTAAAAAAAAAGATTTTTATTTTTTATTATTGGAAAGTCAGATACACAGAGAGGAGGAGAGACAGAGAGGAAGATCTTCCGTCCGATGATTCACTCCCCAAGTGAGCGCAATGGCCGATGCTATGCCGATCCGAAGCCAGGAGCCTCTTCCGGGTCTCCCATGCGGGTGCAGGGTCCCAAAGCTTTGGGCCGTCCTCGACTGCTTTCCCAGGCCACAGGCAGGGAGCTGGAAGGGAAGCGGGGCTGTTGGGATTAGAACCGGCGCCCATATGGGCTCCCAGGAGTGCTAGGCGAGGACCTTAACCACTTGTGCCACCGCGCCGGGCCCGAAAAATGCACTTCTTGATCCTTCTCCATCTTGCCCCTTCCCTGCCCTGGCAGCCCCCCTTCTGCCAGCATGGCAGGAGGCGTGTCCCTCCTTGTTCTCTGCCCCTCCAATCCCCTCCCCTCCAGCCCACTCCTACCCTGTTGGAATAAATGACCACCTAGGTTTGTTTGTTTGCTTGTTTTTTAATGCACTTCTTAACCACCAAATATGCTTAAATATGTTCCTTTTCTAAAGATTTATTTTTATTGAAAGATATACAGAGAGAAGGAGATACAGAGACAAAGATCTTTCAACTAATGACTCACTCCCCAAGTGGCTGTAACAGCTGGAACTGAGCCATTCTGAAGCCAGGAGCCCAGAGCTTCTTCCAGGTCCCGCGCATGGGTGCAAGACCCAAGGCTTTGGGCCGTCCTCAACTGCTTTCCCAGACCACAAGCAGGGAGCTGGATGGGAAGTGGGGTGCCAGGACTAGACCTGGTACCCATATGGGATTCCAGCGCATGCAAGGCAAGGACCATAGCCACTAGGCTACCGTGCCAGGCCCTATATTCCTTTTTAAAAGATTTATTTTATTTTTCTTGGAAAGTCAAAGGAGAGGAGGACAAGTCAGAGGAGAGACAAAGATCTTCCATCTGCTGATTCACTCCCCAACTGCTTTCCCAGGCCACAGGCAGGGAGCTAGACGGAAAGTAGAGCAGCCGGGACACAAACCAGTGCCCATATGGGATCCCAACGCATGCAAGGCGAGGACTTTAGCCACCAGGCTACTGTGCCAGAGCCCTTATGTTCTTTTTGTTACTGATGGGTAACTTAAGATATAGTGGCCAGAGAATATGATTCGGATAATACAGATTATTTGACAATTTTTGCTCAGACCTCGTGTTCTGCAGGTGGTTCCCGTTACATGTTCTGTTGCTTGGCAGCCTGAGCCTATCCGTGTCATTCAAAGTCTGTGCTCTTGTCGCTTGGCCTGTTTCTAACCGCGGTGTCTGAACTTCACGCAGCGGCTCCCTCACTTTTGGCCCAGTGTGTTTTGAAGCAGTTCGCCAGGCGCATCAAGCTGAGAACTGCAGCAGTCTCCCTGCTGATTAAAAGACGTCTCATTCAGTGGTTCCCACCTTGATGTCTGAGACACAGTTTCCACGACAACTGCCTGGACCAAGCGCCACGTGGCACAGAACCTCCCGCCTCCCCACCTTCCCAAGGCCACGGACCCAGGAGCCGCCACTGTCCCCAGGCTTGGTCCTCCGTGGGATGCTGACAGAATTCAGAAAAAAGCCCTGTTTATGACCAGAGTTTATTATAAAGGACACAGATCAGGCCATGCCAGGACGGCCTGGGAGGTGCAAATGCACCGCCCGTAGGACCCTGGCAGAGCCTGCCTGTGGGGGCAGCCCCACTCGGCCATCATTTCTTTGAAAGGGAGGGCGGCAGAGCTCCATCCGGTGGCTCCCTCCCCACGTGGCAACGGCACCAGGACACACAGAGCCGCTGTGGGTCTCCTACATACACGTCTAGGGCTCAGGCATTGGGCCTGCTGCTTCCCAGGGTGCAGGTCCGCCGGAAGCTGGCTCGGAAGCAGAGGCCAGACTCGGCACTCCGAGGCGGGATGTGGGCGTGGGGCCTGCGGCACCGCAGGAGGACCGCTGTCCGCCCGAGAGCCAGAGCGCTGCCCCTTCACTGCCGGAGAGGCAGCCCACTGAGCTGACAGCTTCACACGCACAGTGACCGCTCCTCGGCTCTAAGATGACTCCCCTACACCATGGAGGACCCAGTGACCCGCCCCGTGGTTATCCCCCCATGGTGGATATGCCACAATTGTGTAGCACAGGGTTGGCCCCAAGTTCATCATTAGGATCCACCCCTGGAGGTGGGCACGCTACAGGCTGGAACAAACACCATGCCATGTTGCCAACATTCAATGTGCCCTAAATATCTGCTGCGGATGGATCTGCAGCGGTAGCCTAGTGGCTAAGGTCCTCACTTTGAACATGCTGGGATCCCAAATGGGCACTGGTTCTAATCCCAGCGGTCCCGCTTCCCATCCAGTTCCCTGCTTGTGGCCTGGGAAAGCAGTCAAGGATGGTCCAAAGCTTTGGGACTCTGCACCCACATGGGAGACCCAAAAGAAACTCCTGGCTCCTGGCTTTGGATCAGTGCAGCACTGGCTGTTGCAGCCACTTGAGGAGTGAATCAATGGATGGAAGATCATCCTGTCTTTCTTCCTCTCTGTATATCCGGCTTTCCAATAAAAATAAATAAATATTGGAGCCCGGTGCAATAGCATAGCAGTTGAAATCTTGCCTTGAACGTACCAGGATCCCATATGAGCACCGGTTCTAATCCCGGCAGTCCTGCTTCCTATCCAGCTCCCTGCCTGTGGCCTGGGAAAGCATTCAAGGATGGCCCAAAGCTTTGGGACCCTGCACCCACATGGGAGACCTGGAAGAGACTCCTGGCTTGGGATTGGCTCAGCTCCAGCCATTGTGGTTGCTTGGGGAGTGAACCATCGGATGGAAGATCTTTCTGTCTCTCTTCTCTGTACATCTTTCCAATAAAAATAAATCTTTAAAATAAATACATCTTTTTTTTTTAAGATGTATTTATTTATTGGAAAGTCAGATATACAGACAGGAGGAGAGAAAGAGAGGAAGATCTTCATCCACCCTGGGTTAAGGTTTTTTAATGAACAGAGTTAAAACAGATGTGATCATAGCCAGTCATCAGTACTGAGGGCGGGAGGTAGATGCTTCTTGCATCTTCTGTTTTATAAAATGCATTTAAACACAGTAAGATGCGTACTTGGTAAAGAAGGAAAAATCCGAGTGTCAGCTGTCAGCCAGCAAGTGCACTGCCAAGCTACAAGGCAGAGAGGCCAGGGCACTAGGTCGCTGCTTCACCTGGAGGACTCACTGATGCCCATGGACTTGGTGATTTCTGCCCCTGGGCCCTCCCTTCTCGGGCCTGCAGCCTCAGCTCAGCAGGATGGGAAAGACGGCCTCCCAAGCATGATCCGGAGCCCTGGGGACTGGAAGACTCTGGCCTAGAGGGTGACTCTGCTCTACCGCCCACACCGTAGTTCCACGCATGGCCGCACACGCCTGTGGCATGCCCGAGGACCAGTTTAAGACCAGCCGCTGCCCCAGCCATCTCTGTGGGTCTGCACTCTAGTAGCTGATCAACGGTGAAATCAACTAACGATGCCGTGTCTGGGATTATGTCATCTTCATTAAGCCCTGCACAACCGTGGTCCTGTGTCAGGCCTCCAGTCACCCCTCCCAGACAAGCATTAAGATGGGGTTACCAGGTCCGGCAAGATAGCTTGATGGCAAAATCCTCACTTTACAAGCACTGAGATCCCACCTGGGCTCGGGTCACATCCTGACTGTGGAGGACGACTTTGGAACCCTGCACCTGTGTGGGAAACCCGGAAGGAGCTCCTGGCTACTGACTTCAGAGTGGCTCAGCTCCAGCCATTGTGGCTACTTGGGGAACAAACCAGCTAATGGAAGAGCTATCTCTACTCTCTATAAATCTGATCTGCCTTTCCAATAAATGAATAAATATTTTCTTTTTTAATATTTATTTATTTTGGGGGGAGGCAGCGGTGTTGCCTAGCGGCTAAGATCCTAGCCTTGAATGTGCCAGGATCCCATATAGGTATCGGTTCTAATCCCGGCAGCTCCACTGCCCATCCAGCTCCCTGCTTGTGGTCTGGGAAAGCAGTCGAGGACGGCCCAAAGCCTTGGGACCCTGCACCCGCGTGGGAGACCTGGAGGAAGTTCCTGGTTTCCAGCTTTGGATTGGTACAGCACCAGCTGCTGCGGTCACTTGGGGAGTGAATCATCGGACGGGAGATCTTCCTCTCTGTCTCTGTTCCTCCTCTCTATCTGACTTTGTAATAAAAATAAAATAAAATGCAGATGTACAGAGGAGCACCATGCCATGGTACAGAGGAAGAAGTCGCAGCTCAGAGGTGCGACTTGCTGAAGGTCACACCAGCTGGTCAAGGCCGACACCCATGTGTGCTCGTGTGAGCCACCAGGACAAGCGCAGCAGGCAGCCCAGTGCCCTGCCTGAAACCCCAAGAGTGTGCCGGTCCCCAGGCCTCTGCCCTCCGTGCCTTGAAACCTGGACTGTGGAGTTGTGGTACTATTTGTAACACTTGGGATCTGACACCTACCACTCCCCAGAGTTGTTCCCGTAGCCCTAAAAATGCCCATGAGATGGGCGAATATGTTCCAAACCTCCCCTGAACCAGGGCCTGGGAAACAAAATGGGGCCCACCAGCCCAATCGCCCCCTGGGGACTCCCACGGCCCCTGTGGCTCCCGGTCTAGGCTAGTCCACTTCCAGCCCAGCCTCCTGCTGAGGCGCAGGCTCAAGGCCTCAGGCCCTTGTCACCCACAGCAGAGACCCAGCTAGAGCTGCAGGCTGCTTCAGCCTGGCCCAGCCCCGACTGTCTGCTGGCATCAGGGTGGCAGTGGTCCTGGGGAAGTGGGAAGATCCGAGAAGATGAAGGTCCATCTTCTGATGGACAATTTCCATCTGGTTGTGTCTTTCAAATAAAATGAAAGCTACAAAAAAAAAAATTTAAGTGTAAATACAAGAAGCAAACTGGATTCAACTGCTTGAGGAGTTGAGGCTACACCACCAGGCGTAGCAGGGTTAAACCTCACATTCCCGAGACAGCCCCCCTTCCCCACATCCCGCCTCTCCAAAGGGCTGACTGTGGGGCCACCGTGGCAGGTGGCAAAGCTGGCAGGCACAGAACACAGCACAACATGACGGGTTCTACGTGTATTTCGCTCCTCACCATCACCGCGCCCCAACGCAGCCCAGCCCCAGCCACCATCAGAAAAGGACCTGGCTGGCCACATTTCAGCCCTTCTCATCATATCGCTGGGGCTCCTGGGAGGAGGAAGAGGAGAGGGGAAAAAAAAGGAAAAAAAAAATGAAAAGGACAACAGCAATGACAAGATGGCAGCAAAAGCCACAGCGTGCCTGGCTGTGCTCCAGCGCGCTCCCCACACTGCAACGAAGCAGCTTTCCTTATTCTTTTTCAAACATTCCAGAACCTTCCTTGTACTTTCCCCGGTGGCCCACAGGGGAGTGCTCGGCTTGGCTCTTGCTCCAGCTTCCTGCTGGTTGACACCCTCGTGATGAGGCCTCCAGTGAGTGACCCGGGTGGTGCCACCCTCGAGGGGGGCCACAACCGCCCCCTGCTCCTGGCTTTGGCCCCGGCCCGGTCCTGGATGTTAGGGGCGTTCCGGGGGAGAAGCACCAGCGCCTCCTTTTTTATCCCTGAGTTTCTCTCATAAAAACTTAAGCAGAACCTTTGCACTTCCCTGCAAACCCGCTGATGCCCCCGACACTGCTGCCTGTCCAGTGGCCACCGTCCCCTGGCCTTCTCCCCCAAGGGAGCCCCACGCCTGCCACCTCCCTCCAACTCTGCATATGGGGTTCAAGGTGTCCCCACTCCCACTCGTCTTTGCTTCATCTTTCTGCTTTCTAATGGGCCTCCTGTTCATCCGGGCATCTCACTTCTCCCCGCCTGCTTAGGAAACCAGTTCCGCCAAAGTGAAGCAGAGACACACACGGTTAGGAAATGGCAGGGCAATGCGGCTGACCAATGGCCTGGCCGCTCCCCGCACCCGGCAACAAAGAACCAGCTGATTGGATCAGAGATTATACAAACACATCTGGGCCAATGGGAGCCTCCCGCCACCAGGAGGCGGAGCTTGCCTGACAAATAAAGGCAGCCAGCCCAGGGAAGGAGGCATGAGGCCTCTGAGAGCCAGAAGGCAGTTTTTTCGTTTTATTTTCACTTGATTTGAAAGCTAGAGGCAGCGAATACGGAGAGCTCTTCCATCTTTTCGTTTACGCCCTAAAGGCTGCCAGCAGGTTTGGCCCAGGCCAAATGCAGGCATCTGAGACTCAACCCAGCAGGCCCTTGTGGGCGGCAGGGACCCAAGTCCTTGAGCGAACAGATGCTGCGTCCCAGGGGAGCTGGGCTGAAGCAGCAGAGCCAGGGTTCAAACCACACACTCCTAGGGGGCGACTGTACCACTACACCGAACTCTCACCCTCAAAGACGATCTTTTGGTGCCTTGACCCAGCCAGGCCTGAACCCAACCAAATTACACCCTAGACTTGAAGATGCCTGTGTGTGTGTGTGTGTGTGTGTGTGTGTGTGTGTGTGTGTGTGTGAACAGTCCGGACTGCAACCCTGGAAACTCCTGTGTTCGGGGCAGGTGTGACAGACACTTACCCCGTGGCCACCAAAACATATGCCTACTTGAAGCCTGGCACATAGCCTACATTCAAAAATCCCACTTAGACACTTCTTTAAAAACAGCTATTAGAATGTATGGACCTTGGGGCTGGCTCCATGGCTTAGTGGGTAATTCAGCTCCCACTAACACACCTGGGGGAAAACAGCAGGTAACGGCCCAGCTACACGGGCCCGGAAGTGAGGTTCAGGCTCCTGGCCGTGGCCTGGCCACTCGGGGGATGAATCGGCAGGTGGAGGACAACTCCTTCTCTCTGTCTCGCCCCTTTTCTATGTCGCTCTGCCTTTCAAATTTTTTAAGTTCTGTAGCTTTTTTATTGGAAAAGAAATGTACAGAGAGGAGACACAGAGGGAAAGATCCTCCGCCTGCTAGTTCACTCTCCAAGTGGCCACAACGGCCAGAGCTGAGCTGATCCAGAGCAAGGAACTTCTGGAAGTACAGGGCTTTCCCAGGCCACAGGCAGAAAACCGGATGGGAAGTGGGGCAGTTGGGACACAAACTGATGCCCATATGGGATCCCGACACATGTAAAGTGAGGACTTTGGCCATTAGGTTCCCGCTCTGGTCTATAAATAATCATCTTTTTAAGATTACAATGGGGGGGATGTTTTATTTCCAATAAAAATAAATAAACATTTAGAAAACAAAACAAAACAAAAAATACAACAGGGGATGTTGCAATGCCTAGTCCTCCACCTGCAAGCGCCAGGATCCCATCCACTTCCCATCCAGCTAACTGCTGTGGCCTGGGAAATCAGCAGAGGGAGGGTGGTCCCAGTGTTGGGGCTCCTGCAGGCCACCTGAGAGACCAGGAAGAAACTCCTGGCTCCTGACTTTGGATCAGCTCAGCTCCGGCTATTGCAGCCATTTGGGAAGTGAAACCAGCAGATAAAAAATAGTTGTCTGTCCTACTCTCTGTAAATCTGTTTTTTCCAACAAAAATAAGTATTTTAAAATAACAAAAAGAAAAAATGCAACAGATGAAACCCCGAGCCCTCACAGCTTGCCAGCAGGTTACAGTAAGTACCTTTCTAAAAATCCAGGACCCCAGGGAGCCTCTGAGCTGGCAGTAATGCCTAGCTGGATCCAGAGAGCCAGGGCTTGAGGCCTGGCTCAGCTCTGACTCCAGCTTCCTGCCAGCGCACCTGGGAGGGAGTGAGTGCTGCTGACAGGGAACCCGGTTCCTGCCGCCCACCTGCACTGGCTGCCCCTCCCTCCCCTTCCATCTCTCCCTCTCAAACACAAGGGAAAACATCCGGTATCCATCACAGAAAAAACATTGCACATTCTCTTGCATACCTTAGAACCATCCTCATGGTGGCCTCCGTGTCATCTGTCTTCGGTCCAAAACCAGCCTGTTCTGTCCCCGGCCACCTACTCGACACTGGGTATGCACCTGCTGAGGAGGAGGCAGTGCCTGTTTGGTCACTCCCACCCCACATGGACAACCCCCAGGCTGACTGAACAGCTCACAACTCCAAGTGCACATGTTTTTAAAGTCTTGAAAAACAGTGGAGACACTCCCCCCCCCCGCCCCCACAATGCTGCACCCACACACACAGATCCCCTCCCCACACACACACTGAGCCAGGTCCCAGAGTCAGTCTGTCTCACAGCTGGAGGGCACAGTAGGTCTGCAGCTAGGCCTGGGACCCCGACGGTGCCTTTCCCCCCCGCCCCTGCCCACGGGGCACCCTGAGCCCTCCCTGTCCCTCCTCAGCTCTGTCCAATAACCGGAAACCTTGTCTTGAACTCTTCGTTGATAGCAGCCACAATTTTCCGCAGCTTGACCTCGTCCACAAAGCCATCACCTCTCTGGGCACCAGCAGGGAAAGGCACAGACGTGGTTTCCCACCGCACCCCACCACCCCCAGGTTCCAGCATTGTGCCCCAACTTCCCCTCCCTGGGTCAGGACCCTCGGCCGAAATCACCTTCTTGGAATGAACCAGCTTCCCGTTCACAAACACTTCAAACTCGCCCGAGGCCTGGGCAGTTCGCTCTTCCACCTTGTGGGGGGCGGGGAGGGAGAGAGCGCTGGGGATGAAGGGCTAGGAACTCCCCCTGCCCAACACCTTGCGAGGGGTCCCCCTGCCGAGCCCTGACACCCCCAGATCACGCACACACTTACAAAGTCGAGGCGATTGGGAAATAGCTCCTCCAGGTTCTTTCTAAGTAGAATGTACTGAGGGCACCAGGGAGTGTGTCACAGTGGGGGAGGGAAAACGGGAGCTCCCCCAAGTCCTGGGGACCCCCACTTCCTGAGGCCAGAACACTCACCCGAAGGCCATAGCTTCAGAGTCCACTGGAGGCCAGATGTCACAGAGAGAGAGAGGACAGTGTTATCCTGCCAGTGTCCTCATGCGTCCCTGTGACACCTGAGCAGGACCACGTCCCTAACCTGTGCTCAGAGTCCTCAAAGAGGGGAAAAAATCCACCATTCTCCCACAGCCCGGGGGCCACCGGGAGCTCTCTCTGTCACTGCCTCCACCAGTTCCTCGTTCTCCCCTACTGGGTCACCTGCTCTGGCTGCAGAAACCTAGGTGGGCTTCCAGCGGGCCAGGCACTCCCTGCCCACCCCCCTGCCTGGCAGATGGCCCCTTCTGCTTCCCCCACTTTCCTCATCATCGCCAGGGACACTGCAGCCGGGGACATGGCAGGGTGGGTGGGAGTGAGGAGAGAAGGAGGCGGATGGGAGGGACAAGGACTAGGCTAGGTGAAGAAAGACCCACACAACTCCCAGGGAAAGAGGAGACCAAGCAGGCCAGTGGGAGGTGACCAGGCCCTAGACGGACGAGGGAGAGATAAGCAGCATAGAAGGAGAAAGGCAGGTGTCAGATGAATGACTACTCAGAGCCAGGGTCCCACAAGGGAAGGGACAGGAGCAGGTGCCCTCTACACCCGAGTGCCCAGTGCGCCCCGTCCCATCTCCACGCCCCACCCAGCTTCCTGCTCAGTCACACCCTGGAAGGCTCCAGCCGATGGCTCTTGGCTGCTGCTGCTTCCTTGTTCAGTTGGTTGATTGGTTGGTTTTTGTTCTTTGGGGTTTTGGGGGGTGATTGTTGTGTTGTGTTTTGATTTTTGACAGTAAAACAGCAAACGGGACATTTCTAGCAACCTCTCCCTCTCTCTCTCTTATCTTCAAATAATAAATTAAAAACTGGGGCCGGATTTATGGAAAGCCTGCCATGCCAGCATCCTATATGAGCTCCAGTTCCAGTCCCGGGTGGGATGGACCGAGTCCTTGGTTGGGGTCCTGCACCCAAGTGAGAGCCCCGGGATGAAGCTCCTGGCTCCTGCGTGGCGCGGTCCTGCCTGTCGGGGGGTCATGGTGGTGGGGATGAACCTCAGGGTTTCTACTGACTCCTCGCCCCTTCAGCCCGGGAGCCCTGACCCCCCTGGGGAGGGCCGGGCAGGGCAGACAGGGACACGGGTGGCCCTCACCAGTAGCTCACGCGGATGCAGACTCTCTTTTCGGTTATGAAGTTCTCGCTGGTGGAGGCCCCTGCGCTGGCAGAGATGGAGACGGCCGGTGGGATGGCCAGTGGGACGGGCTCGGCGGGCCCTGGGAACCTGGAGGCCGACGGGCCGGGCCGCGGGCTGGGTGCCGAGGAGCAGAGCGCGGGCGGCAGCTCCGAGGGCGGCTCCGAGGGCGCAGCGCTGAGCGTCGGGACCAGGGTCCGACTCCCCGAGGGCTTGGGGCCCTGCTCCTCCGGGGCCGCTGCCTCCGACGCATCCGAAGGCGGAGCCGCCGCGTTCGCGAAGGAGGCCGAGGCCGGCACCCCGGAGGCCCGGTCCGGGACCAGCAGCCCTGGGAACCAGGCTGGAATCGGGGTCCGGACCGACGCTGGGGTCTGGACAGAAGCCGGGGTCCGGACTGGAGTCAGGATCCTGGCCAGGTTGACGGCCCGGACCAGAGTTGGGGACCGGGCCGGGGTCATGTTCTGGACCGGGGTCGAGGCTTGGGCTGGGGTCAGGGTCCGAACCTGGGTCATAGCTTGGACCGGGGTCGAGGTCCGGACTGGGGTCGAGGCTTGGGCTGGAGTCAGGGTCCGAACCGGGGTCAAGGCTTGGGCCGGGGTCAGGTTCCGGACAGGGGTCGAGGCTTGGGCTGGGGTCAGGGTCCGGACCGGGGTCAAGGCTTGGACTGGGGTCAGGGTCTGAACCGGGGTCGCGACTTGGACCGGGGTCGAGGCTTGGACTGGAGTCAGGGTCCGGACCGGGGTCGCGACTTGGACCGGGGTTGAGCCTTGAACTGGAGTCAGGGTCCGGACCGGGGTCGAGGCTTGGACTGGGGTCAGGGTCCGAACCGGGGTCGCGACTTGGACCGGGGTCGAAGCTTGGACTGGAGTCAGGGTCCGAACCGGGGTCAGATTCTGGACCGGGGTCGAGGCCTGGCCCGAGGTCGGGTTCCAGACCGGGGTCGAGGCTTGGACTGGAGTCGGGGTCCGGACTGGGGTCCGATTCCGGACCTGGATCGAGCCCTGCAGTGGGGTTGAGGCTGGCACCGGGGTTGGGGTCCACACCGGGGTTAGGGTCCCAGTTCGGGTGCGGATCGGGGTCGAAGTCCTTGTGGGAGTTGGAGCCCGGAGAGTTGAGGTCCGGGCCGAGGAGGGAGCTGGGGTCCGCGCCTGATGGTTCATGGGGCCCCCGAGGAGCCGGGAGTGCCCCCTCCCCGGCCCTCCTTCCCGGGGCGGGGAGAGTCTGCGGCACCCCGGCGTTCTGAAGGGAGAGGCGGCCACAGGGAGGCACTGTTACACCCACCGAGTTCCACTTGCCCTGGAGGTTCGAGCCCCAGGGCGCCACCTCTGAGCCCGCCCACCTCCCTGTCGTCACCCCACAGCTGGGTAAGAAGCGCGTCGGAGTGCCTGCCCTAGTGCTTCCCGCGGGGGTCTGTGCGCTCAGGACCTGTATGCTGAGTGCCCACGGTGGGCATGGTCAGGGGCAGGGCAGGGAAGAGGTGAGGGGAACCCTGGATTCTTGGGACAGAGCAGCCACCAGGGCCCCAAAGAGGAGCAGCAGGATCCTAGAAGAGGGGAGGTCCACCTATGGTGCCACAGTCAGAGAGGGCTTCCTGTGCAGGGACCCCTCCCCAAGCCACCAAGGGGGTCTACAGCCATCTACGGGGGCTCCTCCAGGCTGGGGGGGAGCTGTCTGGGTCCCCACTGTTCCCTGCTTCTAGAACAATGATCCGGCACACAGAGGGTGGGTGTCACCGGGATGCTGGCGGAGGTGGGTAGCCAGAGGGAGAGGTTTGCAGGTGAGTCCCTCAAATTGTCCTTCAGTTGAGGATCTGAGTGCACCAGCACCTTGGGCTGTGCCAACTGGTTGGTGCTAGTGATGCCAGCCAGGCGGATTGTCACCCAGGCCTGCGTGAACAAGGGGGGGTCAGCCTTGTGGCACAGCAACTTAAGCCGCTTGCCTGGTATGCCGACATTCCATTTGAGAATGCCAGGGAGGCCCCGGCTGCTCTGTTTCAGATCCAGCTTCTTGTTAACAGGCCTGGGAAGACAGGGAGGGGATCTAAGTGCCCAGGTCCTTGCCACCCACGAGAGAGACCAGATAGAGTTCCTGGCTCCTGCCTTTGGCCTGGCACAGCTGTGGGTATGGGGAACTGAATCCGCAGATGGAAGATTGATCTCTCTCTAATAAATCCTTTGTAAATATTTCTTAATTAAAAATGCAGATTTACAGAGATGAGAGATAAACATCTTTCATCTGCTAGCTCACTCCCCAGATGGCCACAATAGCCAGTGCTGGGCAAATCCGAAGCCGGGAACCAGGAGCTTCCTCTGGGTCTCCCACACGGGTGGTGCAGGGTCCCAAGGCCTTGGGCCATCCTTGACCACTTTCCCAGGTCATAAGCAGGGAGCTGGATGGCAGCTGGAGCAGCTGGAACCCTCCCAGAGTGTGTGTGAGCAGGGAGCTGAAATCAGAAACAGAGGTGGGGCTCAGACCCAGGTACTCCAAAATGGGATGTGGGTGACCCAGACAGTGGTTAAAACATCGCCCCGGAGGCCTGCACCTGTCAGCCACTTGTTCTGATGATAGTAATTCTTTGACATGGCATATGTCCAGTTATTTGAAAGATAGAGTTGGGGGGGGATGAGAATGGGGATGAAGAGAGCGACGTCTTCCATCCCCAAATAGCACAACAGCTGGGGCTGGGTTTGAGGCCAAGCCAAGGATCTTGGCTGTCATCTGAGGACTGGGTGGATTAGCTTGGAGCTGGATCTCAGAAGTGGAGCAGCCCAGGACTCGAACTAGTATTCATACAAGAATGCCAACCCTGCAAACAGTGGCTCCACCCCACACCACCAGTGATGGCCCCGTCTCGCCATGTTTTCACAGACATCAGGTAGAGCCCCCGAGTTCCCACATGTGAATTCCTTTCATTCTTCTGAATTCTCTAGCATGTTCCTCGGTTCCTCGCATTCCAGAGCCAGTTGCCAACATCCCTCCTGGTGTCACCCTGATGGACTCCAGCACACCTCCACCAGCAGTCACAGGATCAATATGATTTTGCACCTGCCACCCATGAGAAAGGGAAAGCTGTTCCTTGATGACGTGGCAGGGGACCTGCTCTAGGCGGGAACGTTACACAGCTCACAGGTGCACACCAGACACCAGTTCAGGAGGAGCTGTCCTGTGTCACGATGGGCATGCTGGCTGCGGGAACCTCCTGCCCTGTGACCGGGCCCTCCCACTCCTGGGAGCTCACCTTCCAAAGACCCACTGGCGCTGATAATGGAGGAGACCCCCTACTGTCCTGCTTACACCAGGCATGACTTGCTTTAGCCAATGAAACAGGAGTGCAAGCTCCAAGTGCCTCAGCATGTGGCTCATTTTTTAATATTTTATTATTATTTTTACATTTATTAGGAAGGCAGATCTACAAAGAGAAATATCTTCCATCCACTGGTTCATTCCCAAATGGCCGCAATGGCCGGTGCTGTGCCGATCAGAAGCAAAGAGCCAGGAACTTCTTCCGGGTATCCCACTTGGGTGCAGGGTCCCAAGGCTTTGGGCTGTCCTGGACTGCTTTCCCAGGCCACAGGCAGGGAGCTGGATGGGCAGTGGAGCAGCCAGGATACAAACCAAAATCCACATGGGATCCCAGGTGAGTATTTGGCCGTGGAGCCAATGCTCTGGACCCCTGTGTTGTTTTCCCTCCCCGCAGAGCGTGTAGCCTCGTGCCCAAGAAGAGGTGCCGCAGTCCCAGAGCCTGGTGGCTGGCAGGGTCTGCCACAAAGAAGAAATACAATTCATGTTCTCTGTGTAAATATTTCTTCTCATTATTTTTGAAAAGCCGAGAGCCAGAGATCTCCCACCTGCTGGCTCATTAACCTAGCTGCTTCAGGCCAAGGCCAGGAACCTGCACTCCATCTAGGTCTGCCACAGGGGGCCAGTGGAAGCGAGGTCTGGAGGTGGGGCCAGGACGCCAACCCTGGCATTTGGTTATGGGACTTGGCGTTTCCTAGTGGCACTTGCCCACTGCACCACACACTCATCCCCTACACCTTACCCCCTTCGCCTTGCATTCCTTGTACAGTTGGTCTATAGGTTTGCCTGCTTGGGACTGAACTCATGTTTTACAACAAACCCTGCCATGATGGGCCTAGTGAGGTAGCCTAGCCGCTAAAGTCTTTGCCTTGCATGCACCGGGATCCCATATGGGCGCCAGTTTGTGTCCCAACAGCCCCACTTCCCATCCAGCTCCCTGCTCGTGGCCTGGGAAGGCAGGTGAGGACAGTCCAAAGTCTTGGGACCCTGCACCTGTGTGGGAGACCCCGAAGAGGCTCCAGGTTCCCAGCTTCTGATCAGCGCAGTACCAGCCATTGTGGCCGCTTGGGGAGTGAATCAACAGACAGAAGATATTCCTCTCTGTCTCTCCTTCTCTCTGCATATCTGACTTTCCAATAAAAATAAAATAAATCTTTAAAAAAAAAAAAACACCCTGCCTTGAGGCAGCATGAACACCCCCCACTGCTAAACCACATATTCCATGTGACTGGGGCAGCTGCTTGGACCTCCCTCCACATAGCGGATAAATGATCAAGCTTGCCAATCAGAGTAAGGACCTGAGGAAGCCACCCCACGCCAAATTCAGCAATCAGAAGGATCCCCTGGGGTAATGAGCCCGAAGCCAGAGGCAAGGCTTTCAGCTCGATGAGTCAAAACTGAGCCAAAACCCACTGGCAAATGCCAAGGTGAAGCAGGCCATGCCAGACTGGGCCACAGCACCTAACCAGCACACGTAAGACCCAGGGGCAGGGAGCAAGCCCGGTAGGGGGCTGTGCGGGGTTCCCCTGTTGGACCTCCACTCCCACTGTGAGTGTGAGAGCTGGGATGGGGACAGACCAGGCCAGGCAGGGCTACAATGGCCTCATGTGGGGTGGTTCAAGGGAAAGCCAGGCTGAGCTGACAGCTCCTACTGGTGCGTGCATGAATCAGAGTGGGTGTGGGCTGGATAGTGGGGCTGGTTGGGTTGAACGAGGCTTCAAGCCTCACTGACATGTATGACAGCTGAATGGGATGTTGGACAGGCTGAACCAGTCTGCTGTACATACTGGCAACCAGTGCAGGGGACTGGCCTGGAGGGGGTTATTGCGGGTCACTTTGACTAGGCTACAGCTTCCACTGATTTGCATGAGGGCTGAGTGTGTGGTGGGCAGGAGTGGGCTGGGCTGCAACACCCACTGGATTGTGTAGAAGAGAGGGTTGGAGACAGAACTGACTCAGCAATTGCTACCACCAGCATATACATAAGCTGACTGGGGCAACAGACTGTGCCGGACCCTGTATTGGCAAGCACATGCAAGAATCAGGTCTGGATCACCTCAGATGACGTTTCTTTGGGGATTCCCTCCAAATGAACTGCTGGACTCAGAACCCCAACCATGGAGAGAATTGCAGGTTCCATGGTCTGACCATGGAGTGCATGTGTCAGAGCTGGGCCACCTCAGTGGCTCAGACGGAGCAGTGGACAGCATAGGCAGGTGCACATGGAGGACATGGCAGCACATTGGAGCCTGCAGAGGACACCTGGTACCACAACAGAGGACAGAGGACAGGACAAATCAATCAACCACCCCAGCCACGTGTTGGCAAACGGAGACTCTAAGGTGGACTATGTCAGCCAGTGGATTCTGGATAGATTTCATCATGCTTGGAGTGGTGATATCAGCAGTAATTCAGAACTGTTGAACTATTAAAACCTCTTGAGCAGGACCCTCGGAGCATGCCCCACATCAGGGACCCTGGGTTGGTGTCAGGTGGCTGTCCTCCATCCCAGGGTATGGAGGCAGTTGGGAGGCTGGGTGGGACTTCTCTCCTTATTTCTCCCCTTCCCCCCAGACACAGGAAGGAAAAAAAAAGAGAGACTGTGGAAATAATGGTCTCACCCACCTTCCTGAAGTCCTTGACCCTTTGCACCCTAACCCACTATGTAAAAATCATCAAAAAAATTATCTTACAAAAAAAAAACTGAACAAAAATAAGGACTTTTATAGATGACTCAGGAGAGGAAAAAATGACATAAATAAACATCATGTAACAGCTTCCGGGAGACGTGCCTCAGCTTGAGTGTCCAGCATGTGAGGCAGGGACCCCAGGGACCCCAAGTCAGCGCGCCGAGGGGGGCAAGGTTAGGTCAGGGCTGGTGGGGGGGACATCAGGAAGGACGGAATCTTCCCTCCCCAGCTCCTGTCGCTGGGACTGCCTCAAGTCCCCCAGGTTGTCCAGAGGAGAAGATGGCAGCGAGGGAAGCGCCAGGGAGACTCCTCCTCTCGGCCCAAGCAGGGGAACACGTCGAGGGGCCCGCGCCCAGCCTGCCCACGTCCTGGTCAGCGGACAGGGACCAGGGGCGCCGTCACCTCCCGGGTGTACAGGGCTGGCGCCGAAATGACGTAAACTGCCCGAGAGTCGCCATCTTCAGGGCCATCCCACTCTGCTGAGGAGCTGAAAAAGACAGGGAGCTCCCATTCCCCCAAATTCCCACGACGTCGTTGTTTTTTCCCCCACCCGACCCTTGAAATGACCCAATTGGGAAAGGTCTACACCGCAGCTCGGACAATTAGGAAGAGGCACACAGGAACAAGTCAATGGCAGTCAATAGTGACCCAGCTACCCGCCCACAGCCCAGCCCCTCACCTCAGGCCGTCCCGGGCGCCCTCCGGAGTCCTTCTCAGGTTGTTGAGTGCGTCGGGCAGTAGGCCGTGGCTCGACGGTTCCGGGGTCCCAGCCAGCAAACCCAGAGACCCCGTCTCCTGGCGAGAGCCACCCCGGCGGCGCACGTGGACCAGCATGAGGGCCACCCCGGCCAAGCCCGCGGCCAGCAGGAGCCCCAAAGCCGGAGGCCACAGGAAGCGTTGTGGGTCCGCCCGCCTCTGGCCCGGGGGAGCCGCGGCGGGCAGCGCGCCGCCGCCGTCGGGGTGAACCGGGAACTCGCAGCGCGCGCCCATGTAGCCGGGCGCGCAGGCACAGACGAGGCCGGCGAAGTGGGCGTAGCAGCGGCCGCCGTGGGCGCAAGGGCGCGCGGCGCACGGGTCTGCGCGCTCGCGACAGTCGCGGCCACCGAAGCCCAGGGCGCAGGAGCAGCGCCGCGCGCCGCCGCCCTCCACGCAGGTGCCGCCGTTGGCGCAGGGGCGCGCGGCGCAGTCGTCCAGGTCATGCTCGCAGCGCGCGCCCGCGAAGCCCACGCGGCAGCGGCAGCGCACGGCGTGGCCCAGGTCCAAGCAGAGGCCACCTGTTGGGGAAGAGGGAGGGAGGGACGCATCGGTCTGCGCTCCTGGGGTTCTGCTGTCTGGGAGCGGTCTCCCCCCAACACACACACCATCCAGGATCAGAGGAGCTGGACCTCGCCCTCTCACCGTTGCGGCAGGGCTGCAGGCTGCACCGGTCTACCCTCTTCTCACAGTTGGAGCCTTGGAACCCAGGGGGACAGTGGCAGATATAGGAGGAGTCGGGGTCCGCGCCCCCGACGCACACGCCGCCGTTGAAGCAGGGGCCGTCGGCGCACGTCACCCCGCTCACCTCGCACCGTGACCCGTAGAAGCCGCGGGGGCAGGTGCACTGGAAGGCGCCGGCGCTCTCCTGCACGGGCAGCGGAGGGCGAGGACGGGTGAGCATTCCCTCCCAACAGAACAAAGGCTTACCCGTCGCGGAGTCCGGGAGCCCCTTACTGAACTGTACCCCAATACACGCAGCAAGCTCACCCCTAACTGTGCTTCTTGTGTTGCTCAGCCGGCCAGTCCCCTCTAAGCCCGTGACCAAATCAGAAGCCCCCCGCCCTGGGTTGGTCTGCACTCCACACCAACCCCCCACTCCATCACTGTCACCCCTTTGAGTGCCCACACACACACAGTCTGTGACCCCTAACCCAAGGCCCAGTACAGGCGAGGCTCAACCGGAAGTCCTTCCTGACCGTTTCTCCACCAGGGGCTGCTGTCTCAGGGACCCCACAACTATTCCCTCGCGTGTGCACAGGAGAAGCCCTAATGAGGACGACGCGGGGTGTGGAGGTACTGACGCTGCAACTGCCCCCGTTGGCACAAGGGTTCCCGTCACAGGGCCCGGGCCCGGGCACAGGGCATCCAGTGGCAGCAGAGGAAGGGCCTCTGGAACCCAGGCAGCTGCTGGTAGAGACCGGGACGGTGCAGAGGGGCCCGGTCCAGCCTTCCAGGCATCGGCATTCGTCTGGTTGCTCGCAGAAGCCGTGCTCGGGGCTGCAGCCGGCTCGGCAGGTGGCTGGGAGGAGAACATAGTGTGAGCATCTTCCACACTATGGTCCCCAGAGGACAGACCCGGATACTGAGGCCCAAGCAGGCAAGGGAATCTGCTCATCCAGTTTGGGGCGGGGTGGTGGGGGGGGGGGGGGCAAAAGGGAGTGCCAATTCGAACTCAAGCCTTGGGGAGGCTCTCGGAAGAGGGCCCCCAGCATGGAATCCCTGGTTCCCCCCCGCAGTGGGAAGCCGGGCTGCAGGGTCCGGACCAGAGCAGCACCCGTGGGGTCCAGGCGGGGGCAGGGGTCCCGGGTAGGGGAAGACGCGGGACTCACGCGGCGCCTCCTCGCACTCGTCCTGCGCCGGCGCGCAGGGGCGCAGTCCGGGGCCGCACCTAGAGGAGGCACTGTGCGGGCGGCAGAGACGCGCGCACGCAGCCCCGACCGCCGGCGCCTCGCAGCGCGCGCGGAACGAGAAGCGCAGCTCCCAGGCGCCTGCATGCTGCACGTCGCGGGCCCATGGGCCTCCCGCCGCCAGGCGCCTGCGGCCGGCCACGCGCGCCAGCAGGCTCCAGGTGGGGCCTGCGGGGACAAAGGAAGGGTGCGCTGGGTGGGCCGCTCCTGGCCAGGGGGGCCCACATCGAGCCGTGCATGGGGCAAAGGGCACGGTGATAGACCCCAATGGTTAGACCATCCCTTATAACCACACTGTCCAGGAACTGGAGGTCCCCTAAGCGAATTCCCAGCCGGAACCTTTGTGTACCCAGCAGCCTCACGGACAACAGTTTGCCAAACAAACTAAGCACAGGTGGTCCCCAATCACTTTGTTCAGTGCTGTCCCCGGTGTGTGTGTGTGTGTGTGTGTTGGGGGGTGATGGCTGCAGCCCTGCACCCCACGACAAGGACACTCACCTGTCCCCTGCTCTCCCAGCTCTTCTCTCCAGGCCTCGATGATGAGGGAGAAGGTGCCCTGGGGGAGGGGGACAGTGGCAGAGTTCAGGCCAAGTGCTCAGCCAGGGCAGCATCCCTGGGGGACTCTGCAGGCCAGGGTGCATTCCTGGGCGGCCACCTTGACTTGCTTTCCTGGGATGTGTGCCATGTGACAAGCGCCTTATGCAAGGCACCAGGTTGAATCCTTCAAAAGGGACCTTTTCCCAAGCACCCGGTGTAGTCCATTGGGGCTGAAGACACGGGTCAGGGCAGGAAGGCACTTGCTCCCAAGGCCCAGGATCTAGAGGCCAGATGGCCATCTGTTGGCCTCTCGTGTGGGATTTTAAAGGGGGGAATGAACTGAGGACAGAAAAGTGAGGGGGTTTTAAGGAACCCTGACATAGGATTAGGGACGATCCCTAGAAACAAGGAAATAAGAGAATGCCAGTTCTTGGGGCTATCGCCTCAGGGAGCTGAGGTGGGTGCTGGGAATTTAGGGACCCGGCAGGCAGGGCCTGGGCCGGGACGTTCGGAGTCCTCAGAGGGCAAGCTGAGGTCAGAACACTTGGGGTCCCCAAGGGGAAAGTTTAGGGCTCTGGGAAGTGGAGTTCCAGAATTTACGGGATGGAGGGGGGAGGTCAGGCTCTTGGGATGAGGGGAGCCGGTGGAACGGGGGTTTGGCCAGCAGGGTTCTGCCCCCCCCACTCCTCCCCTCCCCGGGCTTGAGAGCTCACCGGCCAGGCGTCTCGGAAGGGCACGCGCAGGAGGCTGTCGGGCAGCGCGAGGGCCGGCACGGGCTCCCCGGGCTGCGGGACGCCGGCGCCGGGGCCGCGCGCACTGAGCGCCGCGCCGAGCGCGCACGAGGACTCGGCGGCCTCGTCCGGGACAGCCGGCTTCAGGCAGACTCGGAAGAAGAGGCGGCAGGGACCCCGGGCGCTGCTACATGGGGACCGTGCGGCCCCCGCGCCTGGACCCGGTCCGAAAGAGTGGATCTGCAGCTCAAAGACGCCAGCCGGCCGTGCCTGGGACGAAAAGGGAGGCACGGGTCGGGGGGCGGCCACCGTGTGCCGCTCCCCGGGACCTCCGGGTTGCATCACATCCCACCCCGGGTCTCCCGCCGCCCGTCTCTGACCTGAGGAAGGCAAAAGAGCATCAGGATCGCCGTCTGGGCCAGGAGCCGGGGCATCCGCAGGGCCACCATGGCCTTTGGGGGTCTCGGAGTCGGTGGCAGCTGCGGGCTCCGCAGCCTTATAGGAGGGAACAGCCCCGCCCCTTCAGGCAGCCAGTCGGGGCTCCTGGGGACCGAGGGGAGGGGGTCGCCGGGGAAGAGGCGCGTGTAGGAGCAGTGGGGAGACCCTGCGTTTGGTCGCGGGTCCACAGACGATTGTGGGGAGTGCAATGTGTGGATGGAGTTGGGGAGGGGTTGTGGAGGGGGGGTCGGGTACTGCTATAAGATTTCGCCCGTGTGTGTAGAAGGGCCGGAGGTGGGTGGGTGGGGAGGCGAGCTCCGGGGTGGGGGAATCTGCACGTGATGCGGGCTCGAGGCTCCGGGTGCACCTGTGTCTGTTCTGCCGCTTCGGGTGGGAGTTGGGGAGAGGCGCCCGGCCGGGCGGCTGCTTCGGGGTGCGCAGCGTTCAACTCGGGGACGGCTGTGTGCAGCCGTGTGAAACCTGTGGTTGAGACTGTGCCATGCGCGGGTGTGAACGGTGCGTGGATGTGGACCACGAGTGGAGCCAGACTTCCTTGTGGACCCTTGTGTGTGCGTGTGTGTATGTGTGTGTGCGTGCGCGCGCCTCCTCCCGCAAACAAAGCCGCCCTCTCGGCCCCGGTGGCGGGCGCGGCGCGGCCGGCGGCTCAGGGGTCCCAGCTGTATGTAAATGTCGCCATCTGCCGGGCGGCCGCGCCCCGCCCCCGCCGGGCCGCAGCTGGGAGGCCCGTTTGGCCTCCGGAAGGTGCGAACAGCAGCAAATGGGCAGGAAGCCCCGTCCTCACGGAGGGAGGGGGGCGGCAGCTCCCTGACCCCGAGTGAAAGGCGGAGCGCGCCTGGAACCGGGCCGGGGGAAACAGAAGCAGATGCTCCGGTCCGTCCGTGCGGCGCGCTGGGCTGAGCCCCTCCGGCGGGTGAACCTCTTGCCCCGCTGTAAGGGGAAAAGAAAGGTCCAAGTTGGAGAGAGCTTTTTTACTCCTGCATAGGTCAGTAGGGCCAGGTCCGTCTCAAATAAAGGCGTGCCTAAGGCGTTTTCCCTGCATCCTGAACTCACTGGGTCAAGTGGAGCCGGCGTCCGGATTCATACCTTTCCACTCTCTCAGACATCAACTCCTTTAGTAAGCCCTCCCTAAGAGATTCCAAGGGGGTTGAACACCTCCTCTGAGGTGACCCCCTCTGCCATCCCCATCCCCGAGTTGACCGCTCTTTTAAACACACGCCTGACCACGCCCAGCCCCCCCGGACAGACCCCCAACAGGTGATACTACGGATGGACTCCAAGGGCTGATGCTTGAGGCCCAATCTCCACACCAGCCCAGCCTGGGCAGGCTGGCTCTGAGGCACCAAGGAGCCAGACCTCATGGGCCTAGCTTAGGCCTCACAGCCTGACATGTGCGGGAGTTTCCCGGCACAGATTGCAGAAGAATCTGGGCAGGTGTTGTGGGAGAAGAAAAATTCCTGCTCCAGGGGGATCACTGGGTGGTGGGAGGGAGGGGATGGGAGGGTGACCAATCCCACGTGGAATGTAGGCTGGCCCAGAGGAGCCAGCCTAGCCAGAAGCCAGCACGCTGGTGTCTGCCTGCCCCTTGTCCTCTGTGGGTGACCTTCCCCTCCCCCACCCCCAGAGCAGCTGAGTTCTGTCCCTCCCAGTGGGCAGCCGGTCAGGGAGGTGGTGGCTGAGGGATTACCAGCATTAACCCCTCTGTGAAGGCTGGGATGGATACCAGCCCTGGGTCACAGGGAACTCAGCTCCTGGAGGCAGTGGGGTGTGGCTTCGCACTGGCACAGCCATGCGTAAGACCACACGCAATGCAGGGCAGCCCTGGTCCCCAGGGTGCTCTAGGAAGATGTTCTAGGCGTGTCATTCAAGTGCTGTGTCCCAGATACCTGCCCTCAAGCTCCAGGCAGATGCAGTGCCATCCCAGAGCCAGCACCAAGATGACAGCCACGGCTCAGGTGCCCACTGGACCTGAAAGCATCGGCCACAGAGTGCCAGGAGGGGGCACTGCTCCCATCATGCCCTGGTGAGCACGTCCCAGGAGCCTGCCCAGGAGCATGGGGCACACTTGTGTGGCTTTCCTTCTGTCCCTCTCTGCCCAGTTCTGTGGCTCCCAGGCTCCGAGTCCCACAGCTATGTAGGAGGGCTTGTTGGAACCTCCCTGATGGCACACCAGACTCCAGTACTGAAATGCTTGGGTCTTAGTACTCAGTACCTCCTCTGCCCTTGTACTGCACACCCTGGGAGGCAGCAGATGCTGGCTCAGATACCTGAGCCTCTGCCACCCACGTGAGAGACCCAGATGGAGGTCCAGGCTCCTGGCTTCAGCCCAGGTTTGGCTGGTGCAGGTATCCGGGAAGTGGACAGATCTCTTGATCTGTTAATTCTTTCGAATAAATCAAAACTGATAAGAACTATATGGTGTTGTGGCATAATGGGCTAAGCCACCACAGCATTGTCAGAATCCTGTACGGGATCTAGTTCGTGTCGCAGCTGCTCCACTTACGATCCAACACTGCTAGTGCACCTGGGGCAGCAAGGGAAGGTGGCTCAGGTGTGGGAGACCCAGCAGCAGCTCCTAGCTGTGGGCCAGCTCAGCCCACTGCCCTTCTTTCTCTAACTCTGCATAAAAACGCTGCCCTCATTCACTGGTTCAAGTGTATTTTTAAAAAAGATTTATTTATTTTTCATTGGAAAGTCAGATATACAGAGAGGAGAAACAGAGAGGAAGATCTTCCAAGCCAGAAGCAGGGAGCTGGATGGGAAACAGAGCCACAGGGATTAGAACCAGTGCCCATATGGGATCCCAGCAGATGCAACGCAAGGATTTTAACCGCTAGGCTACCATGCCAAGCCTGTCTTCTTTTTTAGATATTTACTTTTCATTTTTAAAAAAGATTTATTTATTTTTATTGCAAAGTCAGATATACAAAGAGGAACAGAAAGAGGAAGATCTTCCACCCGATAATTCACTCCCCAAGTGACCTCAATGGCTGGAGCTGCACGGAATCTGAAGCCAGGAACCAGGAGCTCTTCCAGGTCTCCCACGCGGGTGCAGGGTCCCATAGGGCTTTGGGCCGTCCCTGACTGCCTTCTCAGGCCACAAGCAAGGAGCTGGATGGGAAGCGGAGCTGCTGAGACACAAACCAGTGCCCATATAGGACCTTGGCACGCTCAACGGAAAGACTTTGGCCTCTAGGCCACTGTGCCAGGTCCTACTTTTAATTTTTTATTTCAAGGACGGAGTTAGAGAGCTTCCACCCACGGGGTCACTTTCCAAATGGCTGCAGCAGCTGGAGCTGAACTGAAGCCAGGAGCTTCTTTTCAGGTCTCCCATGTGGGTGCAGGGGCCAAGGACTTGGGCTGTCCTTCGCTGCTTTCTCAGGGTGCTGGATTGGAAGTGGAGCAGCCAGGACACGCACAAGTGCCCATATGGGATGCTGGTGCTGCAGGTAAAAACCACCACCCACACCGCAGCGCCAGCCCCAGGAAGTTCTTCTTAAAACATCTGACCAGGGCTACGGGTGCACTGAATTTGAGTCCCAGCTGATACACCTGAGGCAGCTGATGACCGAATGACTTGGGCTCCTCCCAGCCACGTAGGAGTTCCACAGCCCTGGCTGATGTGATTTCGGAAGAGGGAAACCACATCAAAGATCTGTCTCTGCCCATTTGTCATTCTTTAAAAACACCTGGACTGGGCCCAGCACAGTAGCCTGAGGCTGAAGTTCTCACCTTGCACGCGCTGGAATCCCATATGGGCACCACTTCCTTCTAGCTCCCTGCCTGTGGCCTGGGAGACCCTGAGGAAGCTCCTGGCTCCTGAACAGCTCAGCTGGAGCCGTTGAGGCCACTTTGAAACAGTGGATGAAAGATCTTCCTCCTCTCTCTGTGTATATGTAACTTTTCAATAAAAAATAAATCTTAAAAAAAATCAGGTTGGTGCATTTATTCAACTGGCTAATTCACCACCTCCAAGCACTGGCATCCCACATGGATACCACTTCATATCCTGGCTGCTCCACTTCCTATCCAGCTCCTAATAATTGCCCTGATGCCTGGGGACCCTCCACCGTCATGGAAGACCCAGAAGCCGCCCCTGGCTTTAGATCAACTCAGCTCCTGCCTTTGTGACAACTGAAGGAGTGAATCAACAGATGGAAGATCTCTCCTTTTTTGGTAAATCTGTTTTGCTTAAAAAAGAAAAACAAAACTAATACTCTAAAAAAACCTAAGTACAGAGAAGTGTGACACTTGGGTAGGGAACTATTCAAGCCCCATGGGTGTTGGTCATTTCAACATAGGATAAGCACCCCTGGTTGCTGTAATCAGAGCATGGATTATCCAGTTCACTGCTCCCCACTCAGGACTACGCTCACCCTATTTCAGAAATGAGCAAATTGGGCCTGACACAGTAGCCTAGTGGCTAAAGTCCTTGCCTTACACGCGTTGGGGTCACATATGGCCACCAGTTCTTATCCCTAAGCGCCCCCACTTCCCATCCAGCTCCCTCCTGTGGCCTGAGAAAGTAATCAAGAACAGCCCAAAGCCTTGGGTCCCTGCACTTGCATGGGAGACCCTCAAGAAGCTCTTGGCTCCTGGCTTCAGATTGGCTCGGCTCCGGCCATTGCACTTGGGGAATCATCAGCTGGAAGATCTTCCTGTCTGTCTCCCTCCTCTCTGTATATCCAAATTTCCAATGAAAATAATAAATCTTTGAAAAATAAAAAAGAGCAAACTGCCTCAGGTTCACACAGCTGCCACTCGCACACCCACGCGGCAGCTCAGCCCGAGCACAGCCCACGAGCCAGGAACTACTAGTATTTTCTAACCAGAAAAGAGCTGGAGGGGGAAGCAGCTCGCGCAGGCCCACAGCGCCAGCCAGGAAATAGTAGAGCTTCCGTGGAAACCCAGACCTTCTGGAACCTGCAGCTGTAATACACAGCTGTGCCCTTGAACCCAGGGTGGCACCCTGCAGGCTGTTGCAGCAGCCACATCCCGTAGGCTGCAGCTGGCTACTGGCCCAGCCAGAGGCACTGCCACTGATCCAGCCATTTCTGCTTCTTTGGCTACAAATCGCTGACCCGACAATCCTGTGCCATGAGGGTGTGGCCTGCACGTGCACCAGGCACCTGCTGCTCCTGCCCCCAGATGACAGCCATGACCCGCAGGCTCCACCAGAGCGTGGGATTTCACCAGGAGCCAACATTTAGAAACAGGAAGAACTGCTACTATATAAATCCCGTTGTCCAGCTTATATGGGAAGACCAAGCCATGGCTGGCCACCTTCCTAGGGGCAACACCTGGTGGGCACTGCCCACCTGGGATGGGGTGGTCTCTGCCGCTCACCCGTTGCTGGCTCCACAGCTACCTGGCAGGCCCCCCTACACCACCCACTCTTTTCCAAGCCCATGGCATAGGGAACCAGACAGTGTGACAGCCACAGTGCCAGTCACAGAGCACACACCACACACACACACACATACGGACGCAATCAGAGCAGGATTCCAGGTTTCCAGATCCCCAGGGTGGGGGTCAGAGCCAGCTGAGCACCGCCACGCGTCTCGTGCTCTCACTGCGTGGTCCTGCCTGGAGACTGCCAGGACACAAGGGCGTTGGAGTCTGTGATTCGTTTTATTGGTCGCGGGGCTGTGGGGCTGCCCCAGCCTGGGGCTGGGCAATCCTGGGGCCCAGAGCGGGCCACTGAGTCCATGCAGCCCCGATCTCAGGGCTGTTTGGAGCGAGGCCACAGGCGGCTGGTGAGGGAGCCAAAGAAGAGGCTCTGCTTGTTGGACCTGGAGAGCTCGGCCAGGCGCTGCTGTTCCTCCTGCGGTCAGGGACACGAAGGGCATGGTCAGCTGGGGCTGGACGGAGCCACCTCCCAGGCCAGGCTCCCAGCCCTCAGCAGGGGGGCCTCTCCTATGCCTACTAGGAGACCCCATTTCCCAAGTCCCCAGTCTCCAGACCACCCCTCACCCGTTGCCACTGTCGGGGCGGGGGCCGGGCAATGGTTCAGTGGGTTAAGCATGCCAGGCTGTGCTACTTCCAGTCCATTTCCACAGTACTGTTCCTGGGACAGCAGTGAAGGGGTCCAACCTCGGGCCCCTGCACCCATGCGGGAGACCTGGAGGAAGCGTCTCACTCCTGGCTTTGGCCTGACCCAGCCCTGCTGGTTGGGAGGTAAAACAGCATATCTCTCACCTCTACCACTGTCTTTCTGAAAAAGCTGCTTGGGAGCGTCAGTCAAGCCCAGGTACTCAGACTCTTAGCCCAGAACCTCCCATAATTCCCTTCTTCACATCCCAGGGAACCTGGTTCCTGAGCCCCCAAATCCTTATTCTACATTCTAGTACCTGGACTCTGATGAGACCCCAGGCCCAAACACGATGACCTTGCTCCCCAGATGGCATCATCCTGCCCAGCACAGTAGCCTGTGGAGGTATGCTGTGCACCCCAAGACCCGTGCTTCCAGAGCCCCTCTCTGTAGAGGCCCTCGAGGCTCCAGGCCGCCGAGAAGCCTTCCTCAGCCTGCCCGCCAGGCGTCCCTTCCACACTTGGTCTTCTCCCAGTACCATCTCGTTATCAACGGCCCTCAAAACCACAAGGACGTCTCCCCTGAGTCCTGGGGATCCCCCTTTCCAGACCCGACCTGAACCACAGTCCCCCTCAACCTCCTGGACCTACCCTCTCCCAGACCCGAGCTAGCAGAGCACGGGGTGGAACAGGAGAGGTGGGCCCTGGGACTGCCCAGCACCCAGCACCCACCTGCTCCAGCCGGCTCTGCCGCTGCTTGAAAGCCTCGAGGGGGTCGTCCTCCAGGGCGTAGTGCTCTAGCACAGTGCGCACGTCCTCCACGCCGTTCAGGGCAATGGCTGTGGGCACGAGGGGTGTTGTGTGTGCTCAGCCAGGCTGCGAGCTGGCTGGAGGCAGCCCGCAAGGAAGGGGTCAGACTCCCTGGAATGCTCCAGGCCCTCCTTAACCCCCTTGGGGAGCCCCTAGCCACACACGTGCAACCCCAGGGCACACATGAACTCCGCCTCAGCCACCCACAGCTCAGGGGAGCTGAGCTAAAATCAGGGGACATGCTCCTCAGAGGTTCAGGATGCGGGGCGGGGGGAGCAGCCTCACTCTTGAGGAAGGCGGACAGGTCCAGGAGGACCCGGTCGTCGGAGTTTCCATCCCAGGGCCGCAGGGCGACACCGTTGTAGGGCTGCAGGCGGAAGGCTTCCTTCTTACAGTCCACCACTACCACGCGGGCTGGGTCCCGATTCAGACAGGAAATATCCTGAAAGTGGGCGACAGGCCAGGTGAGCATAGGTGTTACCCCTGACACTCACACACACACACACACACACAGCAGGGCCTGTGGATAAGGCATCAGACCTCCCATGGGTCTGCCAATTGAGCTCCGAATCCTAGAGCCACAAACATAGACTTGGGCTGCCAAGCGCCCAAGGCAGGGAGGGAGCCGGACACTTGCTTGATGAACCCCGGTCTCAGTGACCTGTCACAGGCTAAAGAATGTCCCACCCAGATAAAAAGAAGTGCAGATGAACTGACAGCCACACGTGGGAGAGTGCCCCGGCTCCAGGCTCCAGGCTCCTGAATCCCTCCAAACAACACAGCCCTAGGCCCGTCAAGACACAGAAACCTGCAGTCAGGGACACGGGTGGCCGCAGGAGCAAACACAGGACATGCAAACCCCAAATGAGGCCTCCTGGAAACTGCTGGTCAACTGCACTTCAAACACAGAGAAAACAGAGAGCATCCAAACTGCCCGTCCGTCCCTTCTCGGGCCTGGAGACTCTGTCCAGCTGGGGCCCACCTGGCTGCGGTCATCAGGAGGCAGATCTGGGACCCGCCCACCTGCCCACCCACCCACCAGTGCACACGGCACCTTCACATGGTGCCCGTCCATGTATCGCGTGGCGTCCCGAAACAGGCGGTATGAGATGAAGCCGTGAGGGTCCACGCTGTCGATGAGTGGGAAGGCAGTCTGGATGCGGTGGGGACGGAAGCGAGAGGTTAGGCTGTGCCCTGGTCTCCGGGGACCTCTCTGCTCCTCTCCCGTCCCCCTCGCCACACAGTGGCAGCGCAGGTCCAGGCCTCACCATGCCCGTCTCAGAGGTGAAGATGACTATTTCATAGAGTGGGGCGAGCTGCTGGAATAGCGTCTCGATTCCTGGGCGCTTCTTAAACCTCCAGCCCGTGGCCAGCTGGGAAGATGGTGAACACATTGAAGCCCCAGGCCCCGGGGGAGGGAGGCCCGGGGCCCGGGGCCCGAGGACCCAGCATCCTGTCTGCTCTCAGGGGCTCAGGACACAGCCAAGGGCTAGGGCAGGGTGAGGGGTCAGAACAAAGCTACCACCTTTGCAAGCCAAGGACTACCCCGGGCCCTCCTTCCCCACCTCAGAGTGGGAAGTGGGGATGGTAAGGCAGTGGGAGGTGCCACTTGCTCCCCAGGCTAACATGTGAGGGTCCCCCTCAACCTACTGCCTTCCCCAGGACACACCGACCACTCAGGGTGCAGAAGGACGCCAGTGAGTTCCAGGACAAGCGTGTAGGGTGGCTGATAGTAGGGCTCCCGCAGAGGGTCCGGCAGCAGGCAGGGGCTGGTCGGCTCGATGATCATCTGTAGGTGTGACAGGTGACATGGGAATGGGGGGCAGTGCACAGTCATAGGCACCAGGGCCAGGGCTGGAGGGCTGGGGACAGGCCCAGGACACCTGCTCACCTGTCTGTAGTCCTTGAAGTATTTGTAGGTCCGCCGCAGCTGCTGCACCACAATCGGATCTGGAAGGCCAGAAACGAGCTGAGCCGTTGGCCACCCTCCCGGACACTCCAGGGTGTGCGCACGATCGGACATCAAGACAGGTTCACACACCTAGCTAAGCTAGGGTGTGCCCACAGACAAAATGGAGCAGTGCACCACCAGGGGATGGGGAGGGTAGAGGCAGAACCTGAACACACCTGCCCACACATCACCTGGGGAGAAGCAGAACACCTAGACGCCAGCCCACTGGTGCCCCCATCCCAAAACACGCATCTGCCAACTTCCAGACAGTCCATCAGGGCCCCAGGTTCCCTCTGTGCTGCGTCTACATGGCCCACACAGATGGGCACACGCTTGGAAACCACTGGCTCTCGACTGGCAACAACCCTGCCTCTTCCTTTCCTTGGGCAAGTAGGCAATATCCAGAGACACTTCTATCTGCCCAAAGTTGGAACCCAGAGCTGCCAGGCACCTGCCTTGCTGCACAGATAGCAGTGCATCCGCTAGTCCCCGAGTCAATTAAGTCAATATGCAAGGACCAGCAAAGTGGCAGAGTCGGTTAGGCCATAGCCAGCAGTGCTGGCATCTCGCATGGACACCAGTTCGAGTCTCAGCTGCTTCCCTTCCAATCCGGCTCCCTGATGATATGCCTGAGAAAGCAGCAGCAGATGGCCCAAGTGTTGGGCATTGCAGCCATGTGCGAGACCCAAGTAAAGCTCCTGGCTCCTGGTTTTGGTGTGACCCATGGGAGCGGAAGGGACCCCGCAGACAGGCAGACGGGCAGACGACCCACCAGCTCCTGCTCTTCAGGAGCTCCGGCAGAGGGCCAAAATGAGGTGGAGCAGCAAGGACTCGAACCAGCGCTCACAACGGGATGTAGGCAGGCAGTCCACATGGCAACTGAACCTGCTGTGCCTGGGGTCCATCCTGCATCCAAGTTGTCAACTACTTGACTTTGTTAATTCAGCACTTCAAAAAGCTGGTGGAGGGGCTGGTGCATTGGCTCAACAGGCGAATACTCTGTCTGCCAGTGCCGGCATCTCCTATAGGTTCCGGTTCTAGTCCTGGCTGCTCCACTTCTGATCCAGCTCCTTGCTTATGGCCTGGGAAAAGCAGTGGAAGATGGCTCAGCTACTTGGGCACCTGCCACTGCATGGGAGAGCTGGAAGGAGCTTTCTGCTTCTGGCAGGATCCAGGCAACCCTCAGCTATTGCAGATGTCTGAGGAGCAAATCAGGGCATAGGAGATAAATAAGTAAGAATAAATACAATTTTCTTTAGTAAAGGTGAAAGATTTATGCGTTCCAAAGAGAAACCAGAGTAAAAATTTTCAAAACCACAATATTAAAAATCGGCTAAGTTAGTGAACATAAACACATTTAAACCTTTACCTGCCCAATTAAAATCTCTGTTGACTTGTCCCAGCAAGATGGTCACACCCCTGCCAAGTGAGCCCAGAACACTGGCCCTCCCGCTGCCCACAAGCAACACATGTACCCATGTGCTGTGTGCACACTGGCCCAGCACCGACAGTCGCCTTCTGAACACACACAGGGCCGGGGCTGACAGCTCAGCTCCACTCTGCACTTGGCCGGAAACTCCCCATCCGAAGCTGGGTCTACGGCAGGCTGGGGGCCCTGCCAGATGGGTGTGGGGGATCACTAGCGGCCCCTCCCCATAAAGCGGGGGCAGGGGCTACAGATGCTTAGATCCAAGGTGGCGGCAGAAGCCATGCCTCTGGGGACAGGAAGCCCAGTCTCCTCTGGCCAGCCCCCATCCGGGTGCCCCTCCCCCACATGCCCCTGACCATCTGCTCTGGGGCTGAGGGCCCCTGAGCAGGGGGCCGGGTCTTTGTCATGTCCCCTCCCAGAATAGCCATCCAGGCTGCCAGCCCGTCCCCGCCCCTAGGGGAAGGAGGAGGGCTTGCAGGCAGCAGATGTAGAGGGCAAATGACAGAGCTGGGGGTGTTGGGGACACCAGTCTGTGCCTGCTGTGACTCACCATTGTCAAACTCGTCAGGTATCTGCAAGGTAGGGAGAAGAAAGGAAGATTGCAGAAGCAGACCCCTTCAGGACCCCTCCTCCCCCATACCACCCACAGGACTAGAACCTCTGGCCTCTCGCCCCCTCACCTTGGCTCCGGTTTCATCCACAGAGTTGTTTCCTGCAAGGGAGACAGGAAAAAGTGAGAGGAATGGGGTTCCATCTCCTAGGTCTTTAGGAAGAAGAGGCACAGAGGGCTTGGCCTCCTGGATGAGCTGGGGTGGGCTGGGGGGGCACTGAGTTCCCTTGGGGTCTGAAGGCTGAAGAGACCCAGGGGAGGGGCTGGGCTGCTGGGCTGCTGGGCTGCTGGGAGGACATGGCCCCTGAGGCTGCTCTGGCCTCTCCCTTCCCTCTTCCGGTCAGTTCCCAACAGCCTTATGCAAGAACCAACTAGAAAGAGTGAAAGCAGGCGAGGAGACTTCCATTCCAAAGCAGGGACGCAGCAGAACACAGAATACAGCCTAGCAGCCCAGTAGGAAACCCTAGGGGAACAGGGGGACTTCCCAAGGCCAAGGTGAAATGGCGGTTGGTGGTCTCTCACCAAAGATGTAGACGAGGCTGACGGTCCCACCAGCCCCAAGCAGCCCCGCGAGCCACAGTGCGACTTTCTTGGCATAGCTGGGACCTTCTGGACCCGGCGGCGTCTGCTGCTGTGGTCCCTGGGCCTTTGCACCTCCGTGGTTCCCACTTCCCGCAGCAGCCTGTGGTGGACGGGAGATAAAGGGGTCTTGACGAGGGGGCGACCCCGTGGACACTTATCCCGCGGGACGATCCCAGGGGTGTCCTGTGAGTGGGGGACAGGACTGGACCGTACTGCCTTAAGGCAGGGACAGAGAGCACGCCGAGGACAGGAGACTCGGGACAGCAGGACAGAGTGGAAAGGGACAGGGTGGTGGACGAGGACGGGCGGCCAGGGACGCTCACTGGCGCGGGCTGGGGAACGCAGGGCCCCCCCAAGCAAGCACTTGGAGGTGAACACGGAGCCAAGTCGGACTCCTCAGCGTCCAGCAGCCCTAGTGGTCACTGCGCCGGGGGAGGACAGGCAGGGCACAGGCGGGTCTCCCACCCCGGTGGGGTGCTGGCTTCGCACTCGGAGGAGGACGCAGGCAGGGGAGGCGCCCCAAGGGCGGGCAGCGGTCCATTCAGCGTCCTGAGCTGTGCGGCATCCCCGGGCGGGCGGGCAGCTCCTCCACGTCCGAGGCCCCCGAGTCCACCCCGCGGCCTCGGCTCACCTGCTCCGGGGCCCCGGGGGACGGCGTGGCCAGCCGCGTGCACAGTCCCCGCGCGCCGAGCCGGAGCCCGCTCCGCCAGCGCGAGAACAGCGCCGCCGACGCCGCCATCTTGCGCTGACGCCACGAGGCTCCGCCCGCCCCCCTGGGCACGGCGGCCAATGAACGAGCGGAGGACGGGGCGGGCGGACGGCAGCCCGAGAGGGTCAGAAGAGCCCGGGCGCGTTCGTCCGCTCGCTGTTGTCCACTGGGCACAGAGTTACCAGGGGCTAAACCGCCCCCACGGCCCCACGGTCCCAAGGAACGTTACGGGTCCTGCAACCGGACGTGGCGGCGACACTCACATACATTGCTCGGAGGAAAAGCTGCAGGAACCCAACGGCTGCTGGTCTGATAATAGCTTAGTTCCATCCTCAACTCTTTTTTTTTTTTAAGATTTATTTTTGTTGCAAAGTCAGATATACAGAGAGGAGGAGAGACAGAGAGGAAGATCTTCCGTCCGATGCTTCACTCCCCAAGTGGCCGCAACGGCCGCTGCGGCGCCGATCCGAACCCAGGAGCCAGGAACTTCTTCCAGGTCTACCATGTGGGTGCAGGGTCCCAAGGCTTTGGGCCGTCCTCAACTGCTTTCCCAGACCACAAGCAGGGAGCTGGGTGGGAAGTGGAGCTGCTGGGATTAGAACCGGTGCCCGTATGGAATCCGGGTGTGTTCAAGGCGAGGACTTTAGCTGCTAAGCCACCGTGCCAGGCCCACCCTCACCTGTTAATGGCCACAAATGAAAACAGGAGCAGGCAGTTAACCCAGTGCCTAGCACGCCTGACTCATGCAGACCCTGGGAGCTGCTCATGGCCCAAGTGGCCAGGCCCAGGGGTTGTAAACTAGCAGGTGGTATTCTAGGCCAAGCTTTAAATTCTAAAATTACTCAAGTGTTCCACATACACCATGCAGGGGGTTCCAGGGCACGGGAGGTGCCCCGTGGGTCCTAACTGGTGTGGTTTCCTAAGTTACGGGTTGGTGTCTCCCAGGTGAAGGTCCCCAGCCCCACCGTCCACCCGCACCTACTCCTGTCTGTGCCGCCGGGACGCCCTCCCCGCCCCCGAGCCCTGTATCGCGGGAACACAGCCTGCAATGCGCACAGGATGTAACTGGCATGCCTACAGTCAGTCAGCTCACAGTTTCCTCCCAGGGCCTCGTACGGGTTACATGTGCCACGCCACACAGCAAGGGAGCCAGCAGACCCCACGATGACCCCACGTACAAACAAGACCACGCTCTCAGGACTGTTGACCAAACAGCTTCTCTTTATTGAAAGATCCTAACACAAAAGCAAGAAAGTGGGGGCCCTCTTCCAGACTACTCTGAGTTCCTACGCGCGTCGGGGAAGGAGAGACTGTCCAACAGGCGCAGGCCCCAGGCCCAGGCCCCTGCGTCCGCAGGGGCAGGAGGTCGCACGGCCCCCGCAGGCCCCTCAGGCCTCCAGGAGCTTCCCCAGGAAGCGCAGGTTGAGGATCTTGAGCTGCTCGTCCAGGTCCATGCGGACGATGCCGTCCTCACCGTCGATGCTCAGCAGGACGCCGGTGGCCTCCCGATCCTCCCCCAGGATCACCTTCACCTGCGGGGACAGCACGGGCTCAGGGCGCTGCAGCGTGGCAGTGCAGGCTGGCCTGCGGTCCCCTCGGCCCCCTGTGCTCACCTTGTTGTTCTTGGTGGGGGTGATGGGCTCTAGGTGCTCGCTGGAGATGCTCACCACCTTCTCGCTGTCCTTGAGGTACACGGAGCACATGCCGCCCTGCAGGCAGGCACAGCAAGTCAGGGCCCAGCCCGCACTCAGGCTCCCTGGCTTGGGTGCAGGGAGCTGCAGGGGGTGGGGGATATGTGGCTAGGGGGTCCACACCAGCAGGGGATGCAGCAGCCACAGCTGTCCCAGGACACAAGTCCACAGCTGGCCTCAGCTCCTCCTCCTCCACCCACTCCAGGGACAGCCAGACCTCTGCACCACCTCCCTGACAACCTTTGAGGCCACCCAAGGGTCTCCCACCTGTCTTTCTCCTTTTCTTCAAAGATCTCCCCAAGAACAGCCGGAATCCCTGGGCTCCCCGTCCCCAACCCCACCACCCCCAGCCCATCCCAGACACAGCAGCATAGAGGACGCCACACCACAGATCTCATCCCTTCCCTTCCTGTAGCACCTGCAGCCCCGATCCCACCCCAGGCCATCTACCTTGGCTCATTGGCACCTCTCCTTCATTCTCCAGGTTTTGGCTTCGACGCCATCTTTCCCAGGAAGCCTTCCCGGACGCTTCCCCAAGTGGGGTGAAGGGCCACCTCCTTCACACAGCTCCCCTTATCCCAGCTTTATACCCTGGGCTGTCCCTGACTTGAAAACACTCTGGACCACGGGCTAGTAGGTCTGTCTCAGCCCAGAGCTCTGTGGTCGCGGCTTCATTACTTCTATTAATGTTAATTAGAGGCCTACGAGCTATCAGGTCTTCATCTTGGTAGGAAGCGGGGATACTCTGCAACCAAAGGACCACAGTGGAGAAAACGCCAAGTTTCAGCCAGTAGGTCTGCCACCTGGAGAACTACACGGACCCGCAGAAGGCAGGCCTGGCACAACCTCTGCCCTCTGCACTTGCCTGAAGGGCAAGACGGGAACTTGCAGGGAACTATGAGCTGGAGTAGGAAGAGCCTGGCCCTACAAACGCACTTTACTGAGTTGATGTAGCTAAGGGCTCCACGGGAAGCAGCCACACTGTGAACCAGCCTTTGCTCAGGCTGTGTGGCCCTGACCACGTGCAGAGAGCCTGGGCTCAACTCTGGCTCCTGCTTCTGCCAGGGGCACCCTGGGAGGCACTGGGGTGCAGCAACAGCCATTGGTGCCCAGACACCCACAAGGGAGAGCTGTACTGGGTTCCCAGCTCCAAGCTCCAGCCCCACAGTGCATGCACATGGGGAATAAACTCACACATGGCAGCTGTCTATTTCACAAATGGATATGCATATGTATCCAAAAATGGAAGCACACACACTCTCACACACACACACAGGGACAAGATCAGCAAGGAAGAGGGGCCTTGCCTTCCCACCACCACGGGCCCACGTACCGTGACGCTGCGGATGACACCCATCTGCCCCACCACCTGCGTGTCCAGGTGGGTGTCCCGCACTTTGACCTGGATGTCCGTGGTGACCCAGTCACTGGAGTTCTGCTCAATGCCCGAGCCTGGCGTGTGCGGGTTGTAGCCCCCAGGGGACGGAGCTCCAGGTGTCATCGGACTATAACCAACAGGACTCGGGCTGGGGCTGGCCTGCAGCAGCAAGGGGGGCATGGCATCAAGGGAACAGTGATCATCCTGGGCCTCAGGTCCACCCGGGGCCGCCCCACTCCAGGGCACGTGAGTGACCGGTACCTGGTAGGCCATGGGTGAGGGTGTCGGGTGGTAGCTGGCCGGAGAGTGGGTGTTCTGGTAACCAGCAGGACTTGGCGCCACCTGGTGGTAGCTCTGGGGACTGGGGCTGGGCTGGTAGGAGCCTTGTGGGGAGGGGGCGGCATAGGGGGAGAACTGGTCCGTGTTGTACCTGCAGAGACCAGAGTGTTGCTGGAGCAGGGAGGGAAAGCAGTGGCAGCAGGCATGGCTGAGGGTTCGCCAGGGTGGGGGGCACTCACATGGCTGGAGTCCCTGGCGTCTGTGGGTTGTACTGCGGGTTGACCTGTGGCGACGAGGGGTCTGGGTAACCAGGTGTTTGGGGATTGGGAGTTCCCCCGTAGGCCTGCGGGGATGGGGTGGGCTCATCGTCGAAGGCATATTCATATTCTTCCTCAGCCCTGTGGGATAGACGTGTTGGGAATAACTGCTGTGATGGGACAGAAGCTTCCAGAACAGCACCGAGCATGAGGCCCCATCCCAGGGTTCCTGACATGTCATGCCTCCCACAGTTGTGACTGATGCACGCAGGCACCCGTGGTCAGGCCCAGCACTGACCACACATGGCACTGGGAGGAATCTGTTTTGCCTAACCCAACTCAGGCTATGCCTGCTCTTCACACAGACCAGCCTGGGCTTGGGCTCTGACTTGTGGAGGGCAATGGTACCCCAGAGAACCCCATCCACCAACACCCCAGCACCCACCCCCAGTGCCTGGGAACCCTGGGCCTCACCGTGATGGTGTGTTGGGGTTATTGGGGTCCCAGGCCCCACTCTGGGCAGGAGTGCGGCTGCCGTCATGCAGGGGTGTCTGCGAGCCATAATGTGGGGTGCGGCTGCCTGGAACGGGAGAAGACAAGTGTCCATCAGTCCCACCCAGCCTCCAGGGCCCCCAGGCCCCACTCCCCTGAACCTGGGAGCACTCACCATCCTGGAGCGGCGTCTGCGAGCCGTACATGGGTGTGCGGGAGCCGGAGCCGTACATGGGTGTCTGGGAGCCATACATGGGGGTCCGGCCATAGGTGGAGGTCATGCCGCCCGGGCGCTGTGAGCCCCTGTGGACAGAGAACAGGAGGGTGAGAGGGGTCCCCTCGGTGCCTACTGCCCCAGATGGGCTGTCCTCCCCCAGAGCTGGGCGCATACACGGTGGTGAGCCGCTGGCGGTCCACGGAGATGGTCTGGCAGGTAGAGTGCAGCTCCACGCGTGCCGTGGACTCCGTGGCATCCTTCACCACACCAATGTAGCCTGGTGGGAGGCAGGAGGTCAGACTTGGGGGACTCTCCTGCACCACACCCTCCCCCGGCCCCCAGCAGCCTCAGTCACCTTTGTAGGGCCCTTGGGAGATGCGCACGGTCTGCCCGATCAGCTCGTTGTCTCTCCGGCCCCGGCCTCTGCTCATGCCACCCCCAGGGCTCCCGAAGTCACCGCGCTGACCTGTTGTGGAGGGAAGAGAACACCACCGGTCCCCCAGGGCCCTACCGCGTCCCAGACTGGGCGCACAAAACCCTCTTCCCCTGCTGGACATCCCCAAGCTGGGTCAGGAGCCTCCTCTGTCCCTTCCCCCAGGACTCCCCAGCGCAGCCCTGACCACTCTGCTATCTCTCCAGAGATGGTTCATCTGCCCCTGGGCTGAGAGGCCCCAGTTAGCAGGGTCTGGCCCAGAGCAGGCGCTTTGGGTTTGCCT